CAAACAACCAAACACCCAACAAACACCCCCCCCCAAAAAAAAGGGGAAACATGAAATTGTAAGTGATAAAGACAATAAAAATTAGTACATGTACACTTAACATTCTAAGAAAACGTACAATTAAAACAATAATTTGGGAGCAACTTAAACGGTTAAAAAGTTAAGTGTCATTGTTGACTTAAAAGACCCAATTGAGGCTGCTGATCGTGTTTCTTTATTTAAACTATTCCAGACTGTAGCCCCAGCAACAAAAGAACTATGCTTTAAGTAGTCTGATTTATATTTAGGAATGAACAGGGTGTCCTCAGTTGCTTGTCTGGTGGAGTGATGGTGCATGTCAGATATTTTAATGAAATCTTCTGTCAGGTAGGTAGGGGCAAGATTGTTGGTACATTTGTACATGAGTACTGCTCGCAGGTAGCAAAATCGTTTTGGTAACGGCATCCAGCCTAGTGTATTAAATAGTGCACTTGAAGGAGTATCATATCCTTTACCTAAAATTAATCTGGCAGCACGTTTTTGGAGTTTATACAGCTTGTCTGTGTGCATGTTGAATCTCTCTGACCAGATGACAGTAATCAAAATGGGGTAAGATAAACGCATTGTAAAGTAATTTGACAGAGTCAGCCGGAATATATGGTTTCACCCGGCGAATAATACCCAATTTTGCTTGCACAGTACTCACAACCTTGTCTATCTGATCAGTCCATTTCATCTCATCATCAATGATCACACCTAGACATTTAGTTTTATGAACTCTTTTAAGAATAATGTTATTTACCTCCACTCTGAAATCGACAACGTCTTTGAGTTTTGCTCTAGATCCTATGATCTTCACATTGGTTTTATCATAATTTAAAACAAGACGACTTGTATTCAGCCAGCTAGAGATCTGCATCAAGGCAACAGATAATTTGTGTTCGACATCCGCAGTCGTCTTGCCATTAACTGTGAGAGTTGTGTCGTCGGCGTACATGCATGTCAACAATACCGTTATTAACCGACGAAGGCATAGAGTTAACACAAATAGAGAACATTAGTGGGCCTAGGATAGAGCCCTGTGGAACACCATTCACAACACTCTGAGATTCGGAATAGGCTTTGTTCAAATAAACTCTTTGTGTGCGACCTGACAGGTAGCTAGCAAACCACTTCAAAGCACTCGCTGAACAGCCAAGTGAGCTTAATTTAGCCAGAAGAATTTCGTGGTTGACGGTATCAAAAGCTTTTCTGAGGTCTATGAAAGCCACTCCTGGCAGGTTGCCATGTTCAACATTTCTGCTCCATTGATTGACCAGTTTGGCAAGAATTGTGGTTGTGGAGTGCATTGGGCGAAATCCTGACTGATTAGGATGCATTAGATCATGTTCATTGATAAATTCATACAACTGATCACAAACGGCTCGCTCTAATAGATCTTACTTACAATTGGCAAGATAGAAATGGGACGATAGTTACCTACATCAGAGGTATTGTCAGACTTAAAGATTGGTACCACTTTGGCACTCTTCAATCCTTTAGGAACATATCCATGCATCAAGGACATATTTATGATTTTGGTTAAGGAATGAAAGATGGCAAGGCAAGCAACTTTTAGTAAACGACAGCTGAGTTGATCATCCCCTGTAGCTTTGTTAACATTCATAGTTTGGAGAGTTTTTTTCAACAAAGCAGGTGAGACCGGCCTGAGATTAAAAACACAATCGTTACCACCAGGTTCTGATACATCGGTGAACACAATACGTGTTGTGACTGGCAAGTCTTTTGTGACGTTTTGCGCACAAGTCACAAAATTAAATGCATTTATAGCAATCTGATCACTATCGCTGCAGTCTGATCCATTGACCTCAATCGAACTGGCCGGGGGAGAATATGGCCTTGCTTCGGGGTTACTTCTTTAAGGCAACTCCAGATCATTGCTGTTACCAGCATTATCACGGATCAGACCACAGTAATGATCGGTCTTTTGCTTCTGCAACATGTGTGTAACTTTATTGCGTAAACATCTATACTCATTCCATAAATTCTGACAATTATGTTTGACGGCAGCCTATTATGGATCTGATCACGTTCTTTCATCAGCTTAACAATGTCGTCTGTGACCTAAGGACAAGCATTATGCCTAATTTTACAGAGTGGAGCATGCAGGTTCACAATTTCCATAAAACTATTTAACCAGGTTTGCCAGGCTAGTTCAATGTCAGTTATGTTAGCAATAGCATTCCAATGTACTTTTTCCAAATCATGAATAAAATCTTGGACATTCATCTTCTTGAATGGTCTATATTTCAATGTAATTATGACCTTGTTGAGTGGATCATTTAAAATTAAAACAACGAACTGAATTAGTTAAAAAATGATCACATATACTAGTACAAAATACACCATTATCAGTAAAAACATCTGGATTATTTACAAATATTAAGTCGATGAGAGTGTTGCTATGGCTGGTGGCCCTTGTTGGGGTGGTGATCACTTGAGCAAATCCATATAGAGAGGTATAAAATTTCAAGCTATCAGTTATTGATATTAGGCCAAAAAAAAAAAGTCTCCGGTTTCTGGTATGGAGCTTGCCCAAAAAGTGGTGCGGCGACGCGGCTGTTTTTTTTTTTACCTGTTTTTTTTTGCTTCAAATGTCTGCCGATGACTGCAAATGGTGCCCGACTAAACTTAGTGCAAATATTGTGGGAGACCAGAGAGGCCACATAAAGCTTATTCTCGATCATAACCCCATCTAAAAACACGTTAAAATTGTGCAGCAGCAGGATTCCAGTCAAACCAGTGAGTTTGGCGGTTTTGAGACATCATCTTTCATTGAAAAAAAAAACTTTTTCATTTTGCCGACGCGCATGGCTACGGCGACGCGCGCGCATACCAGAAACCGGAGACTTTTTTTTTTTGGCCTTAGTGACACCATCCATAAAATTACAGTTAAAATCACCCAATAAAATGCACTCCTTGTTTTTAGTTGAGGCGGTTGCTAAAACTTCATCAATTTTATCAAAGAAATCAATACTCGTGCTCGGTGGCCTATAAAATGCACCACCAAGGATAGGGGATTTATATTTGTTATATTTCACTTCAATCCCCACACACAAGTCGGTAATTGATCGTCAATAGTCAGCATCATTTGGTCTGGGAACCAGTCTACGCGCATTGCAGTGATATTGCGTGCGTAGAGCCAGTAATAACCGTATGTAAAACAATATTACCCACTTGGCATCAAGTCTATATAGACATGCCATAGAGCTAGACCTCAGTGATAAATACACGCACTTCCCAAAATTTTTAAAAATACTCACAACTCTCCAAGGTGTTAGAGACACCCATCAGAGTAAGGATTATTTCATCATCTTTAACTTTCCGTTCATTTTTGGGAGAAAATTCCTTCCTTTACAAGCAGTTCTGAGGCCCATCGCCATTTTGAAAATGGACGCCAATGCTCCATTGAAAAATAGAGTTATTTTAGGCCCTAATTTCATCCAAATTTAACGCGAGCTCGCAGCAGTCCTCTGCACGGCTTCCACCCTTCTGTTTTTACAAATCCTCAAGTTCACGGCCCTCAAAATGCTCTAGTACCTGAGAATTTAAATTGTGATTTACAGGTCTACACCTTTATAGCGTTTGTTGAACTACACTCCATTGCAAAATACATGTAGTACTGCTTTCCCGTAGTATTATATAGAAATAGCGGGCGCGCTTCGCAAGAATTGAGAAATTGGAAGGCAACCTGCAGTGCCTTATGGGCAACGAAGCATCACAAGCACGCTATCGTATCCAGCTTTTGATGATGTCGGGGGGGGGGGGGGACCGCACATCCGCGCCGAAATGTAGACACGTCTTTTTCTCCGGACACTTGCCCTCCGTTAAATCAAAGAGGGGGGGGGGGGGGCTGGTAACCATCTTCCAAATGGGGGCGCTCTTCAAAACTGACCATTATTATGCATACTACATAATTATTATATGGACATTTTCACGTCGCATTGTAATGGTTGTTGAGTGGGTTTTCATTGGTGGGATTGATGTCAGAAGAACTCTATACAAATTTATATAAATCATTGCTGACCAAAAAATCTGTCAAAAAAATCCGCCGGGGGGAAAGCCAAGCCCCCCCCCCCCCCCCCCCCCCGGATACGCCACTGATCACAAGAATGCTGTAACTCGACAAAAACAATTCCTTTATCCATGTTAATGTATATTACAAACATTACACGTACTTTGGTTTGGGGGCCATAACGTCAATCACGATGATGTTATGACTTTTACTTCCGTACCATGCATTTTTACTTTCCATACCATAATTACCGGCAACATATTGCTTATTCGTTTATCTCGTCTTAAAATTTTGCCTGTCGTGTCCAGCGGCCCACTTAATTGGCAAACCTTTAAAAAACAAAGTTCCCGCCCGAGTCAACAAGTGGGTCTCTGCATATGGCGAATCGGGGGGGGGGGGGGGGGTTCAACCGCTGACTAATGTTATGATACTAGTAAAATGGGGTCACAAATAATAAATAGAATGCAAAAGTTCCTAATTCTCAAATTGCCTTCGAATGCAAGAGAAAGCATTGTAGATTTTAAAATTTCCCGTGCGAATTTCCCTATAGTAGGACGTGCCGTCAACCCCCCTCCCGGCTCCCGCCCACCATTCGTATCTCCTCCAACACGCAATATCCACCCTCAAACCATGCCATTGTATGACTAGTTTGTAGAACTATTTTACATGATGCAATTTATTCCAAACATCGCTTCTTTTTTTCAAAGTAGCACCAAACACCACAATGTGAAGGGTCTTGGGCCGGGCGTACCAGCATATAATATTAATGTGGGATTTTTGGAAACTAGCATACATCTGACGTACCAGTAATAATGCAGATACTTTTATATGCAAAGCAGTCAATTTATGACGGTCTGGCAATTGGCCATGGTCATACGTGACGCACAAATCTATACGTCGTGTGATATTGGTTATATTAGCAGCTGTTTGGTTGCACTGTCTAGTAATCGGCATGTTGGAAGAGTGCTATTGGTTATATAAGCAGCTAGTTTGTTGCAGTAGTAATCGGCATAACTGCAATTGATATAATTTGAAGCAGTACAACTGTTGCTTGACGAGTGCTCATCCGGCCTTCTTTCACAGTACTTTGAGGCTGTGGAATTGATATGTATTTTGTGTAATTTCTCTCTGTATATAAGGGATCAACAATGAGTAGTTATTACAGTGGTTACAGTGGTAACTCATTAAGGCCAATAGATGAAGAAATCGGGCAACAAGCGTCGATCGACAAAAAGCCAACACCTTTACCTACCAGAGGTGTCAAATTTGTTAATCCTCATGATAATAACAATCGAATTCAACCGTCAGAAACGGGAAGCCACTGGACGGCACCGCGGCGGAATGCGGGGGAATCCGACGAGTTGACCGCGTCTGGTAGCGTCCTCAGCGGGTACGGCTCCGTCACAGAGGGTGCTCAGAGGACAGATATTTCGGGGAATGATCGGCGCAGCAGCGCTGCCCAAGGAGCGGACTTCGCAGACAATGCCTCTCGCCGAATGTCCACTGCGTCGCGTGTGAAAGCCAGGCTTCGCCATCGCCAGATCAGGGTTAGAAACAAGAGCAGTGGTAAGTATATAACAAACCGATTTTAAACACGAGGGAGGAAAAAGATCACAACCTATATAGCTGTCAACACTGATAATGTTATTCGAACGTTATATTTCAATTAACAAAACCCGCATTCTAATTACTGTTGATGTTGTTTTCTTAATTGGATCGACATGCTTGGACGAGTTCGCATGGAGTTCCAATAAGCAATGAATGCGTCTGATGTTGCTCAGAAAAAAAACACGTGCGTTTTACATCACATGACCTGTTTGGCTGGCAACATGTCTTTGCTCAGCAAAATGTGTGCTTAGCATGCTCCCTGGAAATGGTCCCTGCGGCTCCCTGAGCATAGTTGGCTTAATGCCATTCTGAAAAAAATAACTCGGGTCTATCACCGACCGATAGATCAAATAAAAAATCGATACGGCGTTCAATGGATAAGTGTACAACAATGTTAATCAATGTTTTGTGTGTATATTCTATGGACGCTTTTTTTTTCTTTCTTTGGATGTACTTGTGAATGAGAAAGATAAGGTAAAGTGTTAATTTTCAATATTTTAAATGGTCAGGTACGTCCTTATTTGTGAGAAATAATTCGGGTTTTTTTGTCCTTTTCAGGAAATGTTAGTGTTGCATCACATCTTACAGCGATTCCTGGGCAGTCGTATGAGCACAGACGTAAGTTTGACTAACTCTCTGAGCTTAAAAAAGTTGCTCTTGGCCGTGTTCTTTTCGCATGTCACCCCGAAAAATAGATGCTCATATACAACTAAGATATTTATCAAAATCAAAGCGACATAAAGGAGGTTTTTACCCCGACAAGAGTGTCTTTTTTAGAAATAAACCTGGGATGCATTTACAAGCTCTTTCAATTTAATATACGGCAAGACCGCCTTTAAAACTACATGTATAAGGAAACGGTTATTTTGACATAATAAATATCTGATCGTGCTTTCGCTCTTTACACGGAACCATATATTGCAGAACAATATTTCTACATGGTCGAGCTATCACATTATATTACATTAACGCGACCAGAGATTACATGGCTGCATGCCTCTGCAGCCTCTCTTCAGTCTTACCGCCCCTGCAAACGGCTCATGACTACAGGAAGTTGCTGCAACCGTACATTCTCGTGTTAGGATGAACTTTGCAATTATTGGCAGGCTGGCGCCTCCGTGTAAGAAGGGCGATGGTTTCCCTATCATTTTATGCACAATCCGAGTTTCAGATATATGTATTTTATGTTGTACTTAAAGTATATACTGTAGGATGCATAAATCAGCCCACATCTCACTGATAATTACGAAATCTGCTAAAATTTCCATGATATTAATGTTTAAAAACATACCAGACTGCTCTCAAAATCGATATTTGTCAGTGTTTCACGCCCATCTCTGTGTGTCCTCTGCATAAGGTGGCATTAATTAGTTTGTTTGGTGTGGCATTATGGCATTATGATCACTAAATGCGAATTGAGGGTATGCATGGTGGACACTACAATTTGGGATAAACCTGCTTCAGCAGCAGCAGATTATGTATATCCGCAAATCAATCTTGACCGAGTCGAATTCGTCCGCTAGGATGTTTTTCATCGTCAGTGCTAGTGGTCCTTGTAATTTGTGTCGGTTTTAGTTGGCGACTCATCGAACCACGTTCTCGCTCCCTCTGTTGTACCATTATGGCTGTGCTTCAGCTATGACTGTGAGCAATTTGGTCATAAAACGTTTTCTTTGTAGGCCTATTTCCATGTTAAGGATGTTTCGCGGATTTATGTAAAATCCATATTCATGAGAAGCACAGTGATGACATCTTGAGACTAAGTTATTCCAAGACATGGATGTGGATTTTATTCCCCTAAAGTAAAGTCAGCCGGTCCCTAAAGTGTGGTACGTATACGGCAGCCGCCGCTGTGGTGGATATCGAGCACGGTGCGCGTGAGATTTGCTCGGAATTTCACGGGTATAGAGCTGCTGAAGTTTGAAGTCTTGATTTGAATTGCATGATTCATCTTGTTGATAGCGACCTATACAGAAGAGTGTCTCATTATTTGAGTGCCCCCCCCCCTCCAAAAATGAGCCCCAACTCATCTCACATAAAAGTGCCACCCCTCATATGACGCCAGTACGCGGGTACGCCATCACCGCCAGCTGCCCTGTGCAGGTACAACATATACAGTCGACTCTCGTATAACAAGGTCGATGGGACTAGCCAAATTACCTCTTTATAACAGGAATGTTGTTATAAAAGGACAGCGAAACAAAGAAACACACAGAGAACCTGAGATTTGGGACCTCAGAATTTGCTCTTTATAAGCAGAACCTCTTTATAAAAGTGCTCTTTATAATGAGAGTCGACTGTAGTAACACTATAGCCTCCCTCGGTGGTCCATGGAGCATTCTATTTTCCCTCGGCTTCGCTTGGTCTCGAGAAAAATAGAATGCTTCATGGATCACCTCAGGAGGCTATATACTACACCACTCGAAGCAGTCAATATCTGTTTACAATAGTGCACTAAAAATGCCATTTAAATAAGTATTATTAAAAGTATTATATGTATCAGTAAAAATGCCATTTTTATAAGTATTGATATGGCATGCATCCATTTTGTTGCCATCGACTGAATAGCACAGCGGTTTCCGGTGTTTGTTTGTTTTTCGTTGCTTGATGTGAAATTCGTCGTAACGCAGAACCTGACGGATTCAAACTGAGGACCTACACAAGTTTTGAGGATGTGAACAGGCCGTTTTTTTCCGCAAAGGAGAAGCTCTACATAATACTGGATGCGTCTATATGCTTAAGACTTAAGTTTAGGTCATATTTTTTTTTCAATTAAGAATATTTAGGAAGGTTGCTTGGATCCATTCACTTTTGTCCGTTTGATGCATTTTCATGTTGATTTTGTTTTTTGAAATATCTCGGTGGAAGACCGTATAGTGAGTGGTGCTTTCCCAGAGGTCAGGGTGGTGTTCTAAGACGTCCGGGAAGGGACAAGGTGGAGTTTTTTTACGTTGCTTATAATTCGTTCCCACGAATTACTATTTCGTTCGCACGAATTACCATTTCGTTCGCATGAATTACTAATTCGTTCGTACGAACTACTAATTCGTTAATTTGCACGAATTACTAATTCATTCGCATGAATGACTAATTCATTCGCACGAATTACTGATTCGTGGGAACGAATTAGCTAAATCATGGGAATTAACGAATAAGTAATTCGTGCGAACAAATTAGCAATGTATTTTTTTCCACCCTGTGCCTTCTCGGGCTTCGTAGTGTTTTATTGGTGCAGAGCAGTAAATAAATTCCCATATAGGTACCCCGACCGACACTTCAAAGAAATCGGGAAATATTCTCGTGCAGAACCGCCTCAAAGTTGATCAAGAAATACATAAAAATTAAAGCTTGTCAGTGTTACCCTCTTTCTGTTCTTATTTGGAGAGGGTACTTTTAACCCATGACTTTTGGGGTTTTTTCTCCTCCAAAGATTATCAGCCTAAAAGCAGTTCTGAAACCCGTCGCCATTTTGAAAAATCATCCCTCCACTACGTTGCAAAACACAGAGTGTATAAATGTCATCCCTAATTTCCAAGAAATACAAATTCCGAGTCAAAGACCGGTGTAGAGCCGGTCGGGGCCCTTTCTACCATGCGCAGAACCCCATCCCCAAAGCGCATTGTCGCACGGGCTTAAAATGAATTTTTCTTAGGAATTGTTTGTGCGACTTTCTACTCATAAATGTATGAAAAACATTTGACATCCCTTTTTGATTCACTTTATGGAAAAGTGCACTTCTTTAAACATTAAAATATATGTTCCATGCTTTTCCGGACAACTGAGGTTGCTGATGCTGTGATATGTAATTTCAGGAAAACACTGTTCAGTTTAGGTGTTTTCTGTTCAATAATGAACCTAAAATTTGCTTATTGAAAACGTTTGCTCATTGGCTTACTGCCATGTACTGACACAACAACGAATCACCACAGAAATGAAAATTTACGATAAGTATCCAAAATGGTAGCAACTGTTTGTGTTGAAACAGCTTTAACATTGACGTTTCTGCCTAAAATGACATCACAGTTAGTTGCTCATGAATATGGAAATTCACATTAGCATTACCCCCCCCCCCCGAAAAAAAGACACCGAAATACCCTTGAAAATGGCAAAATGAAAAATAAAAATAAAGTTAAATGGGACGCAAAGGTGCATTTTCAAGGATTGCGTTAAAAAAATCCCATTGCATAGACCCTTTATTTGTCTGCACACTTGGAGGGCTAAGGGGGGGGGGGGTGCCCACCATGTCACGTGATACTAGGGACGCTCCTCATGATATAGGCCTATTTATGTAATGCTTACTTGCGCGCTTACGTCCCACAACCCCAAAACGGCGCATTAAAAAATTTTTATAAGTTTGTTTTATGTTGTTCAACACTATTAAAATAAGTTGGGACATTGGAAAGTTACAAAATAACCTCAAAACCGGCACTTTTGTTTATATTCTCACGTACTTGATAGAGTCTTAATTGTAGCTCACCAGTGGCGTATCCATGCAGCTTTTGATGTCGGGGGGGGGGGGGGGACCGCACTCGCACATCCGCGCCGAAATGTAGACATGTTTTTTTTCTCCGGACAGTTGGCCTCCATAAAATCCAAAAGCGGGGGGGGGGGGGGGACCCATCTTCCAAATGGGGGCGCTCTTCCAAACTGACCATTATTATGCATAATGAAAAGCCAATGTTAACGGCGCATTGTAATCGTTTTGGAGCTTGGCTTTCTTAAGGCTATTTTTTTGTCATTTGCCATACAAATGAAATGCTGAAAAGCCGTAGCCGTAGCAAAAAATGCCACATACGATAAGACTTGTTTACGTCATTTCGTATGGTCACAGTCAAACTTCTTCCTCGGTTGAATCATGTCTCCATGGTTGAATGGTTGATCCATATGGAGGAAGGAACACAAACTTGTTTTTTTCTCAACATGGAACATTCTTTCATGTTTGGCAGTGCACTTGGTTGTGTACGTCGTATCGTATTATCGATATCCATCACGGAGCATTCAGGACTTTTGTCCTGAATTATTCCTATCCGTTTGCCCATGGAGGAAAACCATGGTTTGCCCATGGTTTGCCTGATAGACGGCCGCCGCGCCGGCATAGTTTTCCTGGCGGTTTATTTCGCATATGCGCAGGTTGCCAGTCTATAAACGACCTTGGGTCGGTATGCAGGTCATGCAATCAATCAATGCACAAAATGCAACAGGTGGACGTGTACACATGCACGCAGGGCTAAGCTGGCTGAATAGTTAGTGTAGTGTCAGTGACACTTGCCTCGACAACACTAGTCAGGTGTGGACTGTGGAAACAGGTCTCTAAGTCTCGGTGAGGTTTGTCAAGAATGCCACCATGTCGCACTCCGGTACAGGCACATATTATGACTCGGAGGAAGAAGACATCTGTGAGTATTTTGGAACCGATCGTCAGTGGGAAGATTAACTTAAAGGGAATATACATCATTTGCTTTTGCTGTAATTTTCAGAAATGGTTGGAATTGGGGGGTTGGAAATATAAAGCAAATATAGTTACACTGACTTTTTGGAGGTTTTGGGTTCGAAAATGCTATAAAAACCAAGAAAAACGATCATTTTCCTGTAGTCTGGTTCCCTGACTCCATATAAGAAGAAACAGAGCAACTAGCAGTTTACATACATTGGGGAATTGTAAGGTTAGGGAACCAGTCTAGCTGGCTCGTACCCGTTCATAGGTTTGTAATCGATTGTAAACAAGTGCGATGGTCAATTGGGGCCAGTATTTGAAAAAAAAGCCAGTTGTTTCCAACGCTGATCGGCCGATCAGCGTTGGAAATTGATACAAAAATACCACTTTTCTTGAAAATGACAGTATACCAGGTGCCATAATTTTACAGGATGCTTTAGACTGTCATTTACCAACATCCTATTGGTATTTCGCAAAAACTTGGTAGTTTTATTTTTCGATGTTTGCAAATGTTGTATATTCCCTTTAACATTTTGTATTTTTCCGGCTCCTGTGACTGTGAATGTGAGGTGTATTCGACCATGGAGCTATAAAAAGGATATACACTGTAGCTCCATGATTCAACCATGTAGCCTTTGTAGGCTACATTGTATATGTCGAGCAATGGTTGCACCATGGAGGAATGTGGTTTTTGTTCCTCTATGGTTGCATCACCAGTACTTTTAGAATAGAAGGCACCTTTCCGTTAGCCTTCTAGTTCTAGCATAATGACAATGTTGTGATTTTTCGGGCATGTCGGGGGGTCAGCACTATGGCTTTTTGGAAATGCACTTTGATAAACGAAATACCTTGTCTGGAATTCCAATTTCTGAAAACACAAATCCACCCAAAAAGTTGCCATCGTTGATCCATAATTCAAATGTTTTGGAACCATTGACATTTGGATCATGGGACAATTTTTTGGGTGGATAACCGGTGGACAATCTGGGTTTTTACTTATCAGCCTCGCGTTTCCGATCTGACAAATACATGGGTCATGCTTCATGTGTATACATACATTGCGCATGTGCTGATCTTTGCGTGCCCTCAGCAGGTCAACTCTACATTCGGCTCAACCATTTGGGATGGAGGGGGGGATGCGTGCTTTGCATCGCGCAACAGTACATAAGGCCAAATAAAGTCTCCGGTTTCTGACATGCGCATCGGCAAAATGAAAAAGGTTTTTTTCAATGAAAGATGATGTCTCAAAACTGCCAAATTCACTGGTTTGACTGGAATCCTGCTGCTGCACAATTTTAACATGATTTTAGATGGGGTAACGATCAAGAATAAGCTTTATGTGGCCTCTCTGGACTCCCATATATTTGCACTTAGTTTAGTCGGGCACCATTTGCAGTCATCAGCCGACATTTGTAGAAAAAAAACCGGAAACTTTTTTTTTTTGCCTAATGTACGTTTTTTGGCGCTGAATACGCTGCTCTTTTTAACATTTGCTTTGGAAACCAATATCTTTTTAAATATCCAGGGTCAGGGAAAATCAAAAGGTCAAATGTGCACGACCAATGACATCAAGAAGAAAATTCTGCTGTCATTTTGGACCAAATCATTTTGCACAATATCCAGACTCCGAACTAGATTCTGAATTGTATCATTTGAGCAGAGTCATTTTTTTTAGTCTCCAGTGAGAAAATGGTACTCTTCTGACCAGGAGAACGTAGATCAGGGCGCTGCAAAATTAGATGTCGGACTACATATGTTTAAAAACGTGTGTATTGGTACTAAAGGGTCTTCTTATTTTATTTTAACCATTTGTTTTTTGCTCTGTCATTGTTCTTTTCTTTTGTTCACAGTACTTCCTACCGAAAAGAATTTCCATGAGATGGCCCGAACAGGCAACCTTGAAGAAGTGGAAAGAATGATCAAAGATCGGATCAATGTCAACTGCATGGATGAGGTACATGTGAACAAATGCCAAAGAAACAAACAAAGAAAAAAACAAAGAAGGAAGACTAAGCAACAGGCTTGCTTTTGCAAAACACTTGCAACAATATACTTCTTTTTTTCTTCCGTGTGATGTGGTTCACTGGCATTGTATTATAATGGCATCTGATGGAACAAAGTGCCATTTGCTACAAGTGTGTACAAAAATGCCATGCACCATATAAATAACTATTATTGTATACCATAATTTTCGCTTGATATTACTAAGGGAATAAATGTGTGCTCGAGAGGTTTTAATCACTCTGTTTAAGACTGTTTTAGAGTCTGGGTGCTGATAATTACCCGAGCCGGAGGCGAGGGTAATTATCAGCACCCAGACTCTAAGCAGTCTTAAACAGAGTGATTAATACCGACCGAGCACATATTTATTCCCATTCATAAATACCTTTTCAGTTAAATAAAATCAAGGAATTCGTTCAAAAAATCCCGATTTTGATCAACAAGTTCACTCCAGCTTTTTGAAACATCCCTCTAGCAAAATAATGGAGTGTTCAGCTGGCGAGTAAGATGTAAACAACCCTTTTATGGAGATTGACGCGCGCGAAGCACGTTCTGCGCGAAGTCGCGCAGAACGCACCTTGGGCGTTGCGTTTTGAATTTAGAACTATAAAATTCTGACTCACTGGTAGTGTTGCGCATGCCTACGTGAGGATTGTGAACGTTCAACCAATGAAACGGTAAGAGGCACTGGATTTTTAGGAGTCCACATTTTATGTGACACTGGAAAAGTGTTTAAGACCAGCTGGACATGTCTTTATCATCCGTTTAAGACCGGCCACGTGACGGGCTCGCGACCAATAGGAATGGCTAAACTGTCTGAGGTATTTATGAATGGTTCATTAATAAAACAGTTGAGTAATGACTTGTTAATAAATCATTTTGGGAAATGCAAGAATTTTTCATGGAGTTTTGGCATGCGCTCGTCTCTGGGAAACCTGAATTGATTGTTAGTTTTTCTTGTGCTACATTTACTTGTGCATGGTTAAGTAAAACCCAAAATCATGAAAATCTCAAAGTTTCTGACAGTGAAAGTAGAACACATAAAATTGTATAGTCGAGGTACTTATGATGGATCACAAGTACTTCAGAGAAGTCCAGTCACATGTCACTTCACAAGTCAAGTCACAAGTAAAGGAGGATGAATGACACTTAAGCAAGGCACTTAACCATTCTTGCTTTGTCCTTCGGATGGGATGCAAAGCCGTAGGTCCCATGCGTTGTATAAGGCCTAACGCACATAAAAGAACCCAGTAACGCTTGTCGCTAAGAGAAGTGGTTTGCCCCAGTGTTTCTGGCCTCCTAGTTATACTCCCTTGTGGAAGTCCTCAGGAGAAGAACCAACCAAATACCACGTACAATAATACTCCCCATCGGTGCACGAAATCTCACCATTTCTCACGTTTCCGGAGTCCCGTTCTCAGCGTTCTTGCTTTTTTCTTCCCTGATAGAAAGACCGTTCTGCCCTCCATCTAGCTGCCGGCCAGGGTCACGTGGAGGTCATCAGGACACTGCTTGATAACGACGCCAAGGCAGATGCTCCAGACAAGGTGAGATATAACCACTGGAGTACCAATAATCACTGAAACCGTCAATCGTGAAATTTTCCTAGCACAAAATATTACATTGCAAACATAGTTTACCAACAACTATGTCATGCAATGGGAGACTTTTGTGACGTATGATGGTAGCAAATGCAACCGTCCTTTTCAAATTGTTAACGTCGGGATTAAGCCAAATGTGCCCATGTTCAAGATAACTCAAACATTAGAAAAAGGACTGTGTATTTGCTGCCACCAAACGTGTCAAAAGTCTTCCATTGACATTGCAAAACACACAGAATCAGCTGAGTTGAGAACCATCCACAAGCATTAAATACATGATACCCTGCTTTTTGTTTTTTATTGGCAAAAGTTATTGGTGTCTGGCATGGGAAGGCTTGTACACAAGTGAAACAAAAGGAATCATGGACACCTTGCCCAGTGCGCCCTCACTGGGGACAGGTTTTGTCATTGAAATTAAAGGGAATATACAACATTTGCAAACATCGAAAAATAAAACTACCAAGTTTTTGCGAAATTCCTTAATAGGATGTTGGTAAATGACAGTCTAAAGCATCCTGTAAAATTATGGCACCTGGTATACTGTCATTTTCAAGAAAAGTGGTATTTTTGTATCAATTTCCAACGCTGATCGGCCGATCAGCGTTGGAAACAACTGGCTTTTTTTCAAATACTGGCCCCAATTGACCATTGCACTTGTTTGCAATCGATTACAAACCTATGAACGGGTACGAGCCAGCTAGACTGGTTCCCTGACCTTACAATTCCCCAATGTATGTAAACTGCTCTGTTTCTTCTTATATGGAGTCAGGGAACCAGACTACAGGAAAATGATCGTTTTTCTTGGTTTTTATAGCATTTTCGATCCCAAAACCTCCAAAAAGTCAGTGTAACTATATTTGCTTTATATTTCCAACCCCCCAATTCCATCCATTTCTGAAAATTACAGCAAAAGCAAATGATGTATATTCCCTTTAAGTGATAAAGTGTTATTCAGAAGGGCTGTGCATTTTCAAATAATTTAGTATTTGATTATTCCAACTTGGCCTTGATTGAATATTCGAATATTCAAAATGCATTGATCAAGTTTAAACAGTGTCAGCCTAAACTGGCCACCGATCGCGATTTGAGTGCTCCTGCAGTTGTCGAAAAATTGACAAGATCTTATTAAAGTACAAAGAAGAAGTAGCGAAATGGCCATTATTTTACAGAGTTTGAATAAGAAAGTTGAGATAATTTTCCTCATTGGAGGCATGGGAGCTCTTGAATCATGCGCCGTAGCGGGTTTTGACAAAAGTACGACATTTGACAAATAATAAAATCACGCAATTTGTGTGATTAGAAGGACAACGTGGGCATTTTTCATCATCTCCACAAGACCTCTCACAGTTTTCGAATATATGTATTTGAATATAAAAAAAGCTGTTCAGATATTAGGTTTAGGATCTTATATTCGAATATTTGGTATAATCTGAAGCTGTACAACAAACAGATGGTTCAATTATATGTTGTCTCCTGTTTGCATTTGAAATCCATTGAGTTTGATTGTACAAGCCTCACAGAATTTAAAAGGCTATTTAACTGTTTACTCAAAAAAACATCTGTTATTGGATTAAGTTGCTCAGGATTCGTAGTTGAATATTACCACAAGATTTGCATAAACAGAGATCAGCATTGTATTTTTTTTGTCAGCGGATGAAGTCTGCAATAACGCATAAATTAATATTGGTTGATAGAACTATTACATCTACTGAAATTATTATTAACAGGTCATGCATAAGTGAATTGAAGAGAGAACAATTTGGCGTAAAATTAGACGACAAAATACAAATTTTAATACAACTGGAAAATAAAGTTAACATACATACAACATACGTAATCAATTTTCAAAACAAGCAATTTACAAAGTTCTTGCTGTCAAACATTCAATTATTGCATTTTTCTTTGTAAAAGTGTGTCAATTTGTCTGTTTTTAAGTTTGTAAACTGCATAATAATACCGGAGTCTTATATAGCACACGTATCTACCAACAATTAGGTACTCAAGGCGCTGGAAATTATGTCTATTATTATAGAAAGGTAAATAAAGTTTATGAGAACCACTACATGTATGTACATGTAGCACCTTATAATGGTTTGCATGTACTGTTTAAATGTACATGTAGTCATCTACAACATATTCCAGTAACTGTTTTGCATGATTTTACAGTTTGGAATGAACGCATTACTCTGGTCGGCTTGGTTCGGCCAACAACCAGCGATGGATGCACTGTGCAATGGCGGAGCACTGGTCAAGTGTGAAAATAAGGTATGAAAATAAATTGTGGTAATGGTGGGCATGTTCAGACAACATTATATAACCGATATACAGATCCTTGTCATTTGATTGGTGGAACTCGCATCACGTGACATTCGTTATTGCTTCCATTCACGCCGCGGCTCAAAAAGTACTATCCGCCATGGGGAATGAACTATTGAACAGTTAGGATCATTCTTTTTCCTTGACGCGGTATTTGTGTGCAAATGCATGCTGGTGTGCGCGTTCAGCGTTGTGCGTAGCGCGTATTTTTCCAAAGAGCCAGCGCTACAGTGTTGGGTTCCAACATTTTCATGATGGGGTGGTTTGGAAGAGAGAAATACATTTTCCTCCAGTTCTTATTGAAATAAAAGTTCATGTATATCAAATGACAAGGATCTATATGTCAGTTATATAAAACAAATATTGAGTGGCTTTAAATTGTGAAATGGGAGGAATATTATCGCTCAGTAAAATCTGGAATTTTCCAGTTCACTTGGCTTCGCCTCGTGAAATGGAAAAGTCCAGATTTTACCTTGCGACATGTGCGAGGTTCTGGAAGATTTTGAAGTACCGTATTGAGGATGATAGAGCTCAGTAATGTTTACAGGTATAGTATATCATTTGCAGCTAGGTAGCTGACAAAATTGTTGTTGAAAAGTTTACTTGGTTTAAAGATAGAAATGGCACTTAACACCCTGTGAAATTATTTCATTTGGAAGAAAACAATAAAAGAAGGCCATTTCCAAAGATGCATTTAAAGAAGCATTTTGGAAATTTTCGTTAGTAGTTTGTTTTTAATGCGGCGAAGCCATGCATGCAAGCGTTGACATGCACACATGCACACGGCTGCTATAATTCGTCGGTTCAGTGCTTGACATCGCGTAGCTGCAGTTGGCTGAATGAGAATGTGTCCCGGACGCTGATTTCGGGCGCATTTCAAAACATGACTCGGCAACTTTTGAATTGAAATCGAGATCCTAGAATATTGTTTTCTTGGACTATACAGCATGCACTGAGCTAAAACCTTATCAGGTTAGTTGTTAAGCACCCTTAAGATTTTCAGTTCTCGTGTTGCTTCAAATGAAAAAGAAATGCACAAACGACAAATGATATACGCTTCTTTTAAAGAAATTGGGCTAGATGGCTCATGGAAGTACATAAGTCCAGAGGATATGTGTGTTAGTATAATTTGATGACAGTAATTTGATGAGCATGAATGGAAGTTTTACATTTTAGAGAGGGTGCAAAAATATGTTGGTTCTGAAAGAACAGGTTTTGAGTTTTGAGTATACTCTGTTTTTTTGTGTCTTTTTGTAGTTTTAACAGAGATTCATAAATACCTAAGACAGTTTACACATTCATATTGGTCGAGAGCCTGTCACGTGGCCGGTCTTTAACGGATGATAAAGACATGGCTAGCTGGTCTTAAACACTTTTCCAGTGTCACATGAAATTTGAACTCCCATGAAATCTGGTGCCTTTTAACGTTTTATTGATTGAACGTTCACATTCCTTGTGTATGCATGCGCAATACTACCAGTGAATCAGTATTTCATGGTCCGAAATTCACACTACACCAGCCCAGCTGCGTTTTGCGTGACATCGCGCAGTACGCGCGACGCGCACGCCAATGTCCTTATAAGGTAACGAGTCGTGGAGGGGCATTCCATATTATAGTCAGAGGGGTGTTTCGTAAAACGTGAAGTAAAATTGTTGAACAAAATGGTTGGCAACGTCTAGTTTTTTACTTGTTTTCATTTTTAGACCGAAAAGATTTGGGTTTTTTGGGGTCCAAAAAAGGTATTTATGAATGGGAATAAATATGTGTTCGGTCGGTATTAAACACTCTGTTAAAGACCGGTGGGAGTCTGGATGGGTGATAATTACCCATCCAGACTCCCATTGGTCTTAAACAGAGTGTTATAATACCTCCCGAACACACATTTATTCCCTTAGTAATTGTATGGTTTAACCTGATTTTATTTTCATATGTTTTTGGTTTGCCTTTTCTCAACTACAGCAAGGACTGACCATAGTCCATTGTGCTGCCTCTCGCGGCCACGTCAACGTCTTGAAGTACATCGTGGACAATCTCTTGGAGGAGGACAGCATGGATTCTGATGATGAGGAGTCGGGACTCTTACCAGGGCTCGGGGCAATGCAAGGAAAGGTAGAGATCCAAGTTTCATTATAATAAGGCGGGGAACTCATTTCAGACAAAATTGTAGTGGAAACGGTTTGGGAGATCAAGTGAATGAAGGGAAGCATTAGTTTTGTGAATTTATGAATGTTGGCTAAAAAGGGTGAGATTACACTTGTTCCTCATCATTTTCCAAACATTTTTTGATATCATTTATCCAATCAAAAATTGAGAAAGATCACATTTTGTACTGTAAGAGCTCAAATTTATGCTGCTACATGTTATTTTCAAAGAGTAGTTTTTCAATCTACAATGTAATTTCATCCTTTGTATTCATCATAATTCAAAGTCTGACACATGGTTTTGCATGGCTAGAGTTCACCCACCATAATTTTATGCTGACCTGTTTAATCCTGACTTGCTACCAGACGGAAAAAAAATAGTGGTAACCATTATTATAATATGGGAAGACACAGCTGCCCCACAGAGATGCTCACAGTGTATGCTGATGGTTCGTGGGTAGAAATACTGATGTTGCCATTTCACAAAGAGACAAACATCTGTTATAAATGATTAGAGAATTTAATTAACAGTTTTATTTTAATGGCTCAGTAGCAGAAAGATTTCAATTTGAAAACAGTATACAAACTAGCTTTCAGTAGTTCATTCTTGGCAATAAATTTGTGGAATCATACCAAAATTGTGCTGCAAAATGTGCTTTAGTCAAGCATATTTCAACCCTGACAAAGTTCACATTGTATATTTCACAACATCAAAGTTGCTTCGGCCTTTAAACTGAGATAAATTCAGAATGTAGATCTTTAGAAAAGTGGGATTTTTTTCCATACGTTTGGACAAGGCCAGTCTCTTTTGCTGAAATGGTGACAATATATTGGTATGGGGAGGAAATAGGGATGCATCATGATGCGTGCATCATGATGCGTGCACAATTATGGGTACATTGTGCATGCCAAGTGTAAATGCCTGATTGCATGGGGCTTGTACAAAATGGCTGCTGCAAGCTGGTGTCCTCGGGGGTGTGAAATCACAGCTTTAAAGCTGATTTCAGCTTTTTTATTTTGGATTTCAGCTTTTTCCCTCACTTGCTGTGTACAAAAGTATAGGAGATTTCCAAAGTTCAACTTTTTTTACACCTTTTTGAGCTGTTTTCAGCTATTTTTATCAGTGGTCACTCACACCCGTGTGTCCTATAACAGACACGACAGAGTTGTAGTCAAATCGATCACAAGTCAACTCACAAGTAAACCCGCAAGTCAACTTACACCCAACGTCACGGACAAAAAAAAATGAACAATGTCAAAGAAATACTGTTTCCATTGTTCATTTGTGACCTGCCATAGCATAATGAGGAATAACCCCCCATCTTTGACTCTTCATGTTATGTACATCATATTCCATTGGCTTTCCAATGATACCAAATGTATTGCTATAGCTTAATTTATTTCAAAGATATGACGCAGGAACTTCAACAGTGTCCTGCTAAAATTCTTTAACCTCATTTCGAGAAATATGGCTTTGAAAAAAAAGACATGTGTTGCGTCGCCAACGGCAGTGAAAAACGTTCTTCAGTTTTTCCACTTTTGTGGGTAATTTTTTCCAAACAAAAATGCATAGTGTTAATCTTGGATACCTTGGCTATTCAAAAATACAAAACAATCAAAAATGATTTTCACATGATTTTTCTAGTATATCCGACTTCCGATTACTCAGAGCAAGGGTTTGGGGGACATTCCTCGTTTTGCCTCAGTAGGAAACATTTAAGTTCTTCGCCACTTAACTTCAAATAAGAATACATTATAAATGCGACTTGAATACAACTGCGAGCAGCAAAGAACACAAATTGCGTACACGCTACATGTCACCACAATTTTGCAGTTGCCTTGCATGGATATACATTACAGACTTTTTGAATGCGTACCATCATTAAAACAGTATGCAACTTGTGGTTTCCCTGTCCACTCACAAACACCGTTGCACCATTGTATTTCCGTGCACTTTTTTTTTCCATTCCAAATCTTTAAAGATGACGGGGTTATTTGGTGCAGCGGCATCTTACGTAGGTTTGAAAGATAAAAAGGACCAAGGGCAGGCGACCAAGAAGACCAAGTTTCGGCCAGAGAGTTCCTTTTTGGAGCACAGATGCTCGGGACAGGTATGGTATTCAATGAGGTTGTAGGCGAGTCCTTTTCTGAGTCCCACAAGAATACTGAAATATTCAATTATGTGTTACGACCCAACAGAATGAGTCACAAAGTCACCAAAGCTACACGTCTTTTGAGTTATTGGCAAATCTAAGAGAAAATTACACAAGTGGAAATATATGGAGACAGCTAACTTACTCAGCCACATGATATCTGTATATAAATTTGTCAAACTGAAAGATATATCGAATTATGCGCTTCATACTGCATGTGAAAAACTAAAATCGTCCTTTCATTTCACGGGATCCCATTCCATATAGTTGTGTAAGTCGTAAAAATTGAGCCTGAAAAACTTGGGCTTGAAAAACTCGGGTAGCAAACCGAGTATCTGGGTAAAATTTATGCTGAGAATTTTTAGAATTTGTTAAAGGAATCAGACTTGAGTTTTGAGTCCAAATCCTTTTTGAAAATGATACCCAGCTTCAGTTGTACAGCCAGTGTCAGCATTATGTCCAAACACTCCTATTTCAACTGAAACCGAAGCATTCAGTTAATCAAGTATTGGTGCTCGGGATTCATTCCAACTACAACACCTTATATTTCAGAGTTATTCGGGACTCAGAAAGGGACTTGACTGCAACCTGGTATGCAAGCTCATCACACCCTGCAACTTTATGCAATGCCTCTTTCTTTGCCAACTTTTGATGGCCAGTCATTTTCTAAAATGCAGTTATGAATATTCACAGTGTGTCAGTGGTAGAAAAACAAAGCTTTCCCCCCAAAACAGCTAGTTCAAACACAGACTCGGATCTCTAAAATGGCAGCGCTCATGTCCAGGTCTCAAGATTTTGGCTGTCTAAGACGAAATATGTCTTGTTCGCTTTGTCTCATTAATATGTACATTAAAGTCCATAATGAGCAAAAGAAATTAACGTGCAAAAGCTGCAGGGTGCACATTCAGTGTTATGGTCGGTAAAGGTGCACAGCATGCACATGTGCATGAAATATTGCACTGGGAATGCTGGGATACATCTCTCCATTGGATGTTGCACGGAGGATAGGGAAGATGTATTGCAATTTGATGGAAAAGGTTTGATGAAGATTGTCAAAACAATCAAAAGTGCATGAAAATTACCCAGCTCCATACTAACCATCAGAAACATTTTTTTGTTATTTGTTGACATGCCCCTTAACTGTCTGTGTCGTTTTTAATTCCTGCGACTGGAGGACAAAAATCGGACTGCGGCCTGGATTTCAAACGCGGCTGTGAACAGTCATTCCCCAAAAGCCACACCCGTGGTGCCTCGTAACTCAATGATGAATAACATCAGGAGAAAGTCTGTAGCGCCATTCAGCTACCTCCACAGTCATATGCCCATGGGCGTCAAGAAGGTTGCGAAAGTACCCAAGCCCCAGTTCAGGGGAGAGGATTCGCTGATGGAGAAGAAGAGTTGGTTTCAGGTAGTTGATGGGGTTATGAATATGCATGAGGCTCTCCATGAACAGGAATGAAGAGGCCAGGATGTGGATCACAGTGGTCTAAGGCACGGAAGTTCTTTCTCGAGTTTCATGAATATGCATGAGGAACTTATTTCCATGGAATGGAACAGGAGATTTAAGATGAGTCAATGATGATGTTTCACTGGTCCTGAGAATGCTTGAGGCACTCCCATATCATGAATATGTATAGGCGATTAAAGAGGTTGACCAGCATTAATTTGAGGTACATGTCTTTTTCAATTGTCTTGAATATGCATGATGCACGCGGTATTTCAATGGAAAGGAATAAGGATTCAAACTATTCGTAATTTGGAATTTACGTCAGGGTGATGTAAATTCAATATTGGTTTTTGCCCTTCACTGACGTATTTTTAAAAACACTGTATACGCAGTGTTGTCCCGAGTGATTGTGAGAAAAAAAATCACTCGGGTGGGGTTCGAACCCACGACCTCCTGCTTACTAAGTGCAGATGTCTTACTCCACCACTCGACCACCGAGCTTGAGTAACAGATATTCCTTTGGGTTCTGAATATGCATGAGGCACTCTTTATTATCGTGAATAGGTTCAAGGACCTTGCAGATTGTTCAAGGACATTACAGATTGTTCAACATTGCAATGTTTACAGGCACTGGTGTAGTTTCTCTGGTTAATGGACATGCACAAGGTATTAATCTTCATTTTTATGGATATGTACAAATGTTTAAGGGTCTAGATCGACTTACGTTGGTTGGAGGCACAAGGGTTGGTTCTCAGTACCTTGAATATGTTTGCAGCACTCTATATTGTCCTGAATAGGCACAAGAAGATTTTAGATTGGTCAGCATTGATTTCAGGCACAGGTATTACTTCTCAGGTTCACAGATATGCACAAGGTACTCTTCATTTTTGTAACATATGGAATGATGGAATATATTTCTGCAATATTTTAGTGTATAAGGAGATTGTAGATTTGGTTACATTGATTTGAGGCACAAAGTTGATTTCTCTGGTTCTTAAATATGCATGTTGAACTTCCTTGAATTGAAAAGGTACAATGGAATCCTGGATTGACCAGCATTGATGTTCAGGCACAGAATTGGGTTTTTTTCATGTATAGTTCCATTTATTTATTAAAATATTAAAGAGATCGGCAAGAACTGATTTAAAGGGAAAATACAACATTTGCAAACATCGAAAAATAAAATGACCAAGTTTTTACGAAATACCTTACAGGATGTTGGTAAATGACAGTCTAAAGCATACTGTAAAATTATGGCACCTGGTGTGAAGTCGTTTTCAAGAAAATTGTATTTTTGTTTACATTTCCAACGGTGGTCGGCCGACCAGCGTTGGAAAAACCTAACTATTTTTCACTACTGCTCCAAATTTACCATTTTTTCAGTCCAATTTTGTTTGCTAATTGGTTTTATGTTCATGAATGGGTGCAGGTCAGCTAGACTGGTTCCCTTAGCGTACAATTTTCCGGCATCTGTAAATTGATCCATTTCATCTTCAGTGGAGTCAGGGAACCAGACTACTTGAACATTTTTGTTTTTCTTGGTTTTTCCAGCATTTTCGAAAACAAAATTTCAAACATGTCAGTGTAACAATAATTTGATCTATTATACTAACCCCTCAAATAGTTCATTTCTGAAAATTAAAGCATAAGCCAATGATGTACATTCCCTTTAAGGCAAGGATGTTGTTTTTCTGGTCGATTTTGCATGAAATGGTCTAATTACGCACAAGAAGACTCCAGGGGGAGAAGAAATACTAGAGGTTTTTTTTATCTTTCAAGTACTACATTGTCTTTGGAGCCCAAAAAAGTAAACAAAGCATGTAGATGTCAACCTTTTAACTATTAATTGTGCACTGTTTTTTTAATTGGATTAAATAAAGACAATTTTGAGTTCATTTCTGAAGGGATTTAAATTTCATTTGTGAGGTGCTAAATGCCCTCAAGATTTTCAGAATCTGTAATATTTTGTTCTGATTGTTTTGTTAGGGTAGCAAAACGCCAATCCACCTGGCTGCCGAGAACGGCCGTGTGGAAGCCACCAAGTTCCTCATACAGGTCAAATGCAATAAGCTGGCGAGGACCGCGGTGAGTTTACCTTCAAACGAAAAAAAAACTGAAAGAGTTCAGAGTCATTTGTAGTTGTAATGCAGTTGAGTCACGAGATAGTCAAACAAAGCGACAAACTCAAACTTCTGCTAGGGCCTAAATGTATAAAAGTTATTCCATCTGGCATGTTGTTATTTTGAAGAAAAAAGATACAAGACGGTCATTTCCAAAGATATGTCAAGTGACACACTGTTGGAAATTCATGTGATGTTCAGATTGGTTCCTGGTCCCTCCATTGTCAATCTATCTTTGAATATGTAGGAGGCAGGAATCAGTCAAGTGGTTGTCAGGATAGCGCCACAGTGTGACCAACTTCAGCATCAAATTTCAAAGTCAGAAAAAAAAACTGCCATTGTTTTCTCAAAAAGTACATCATCAGTGTAGCTAAAGTGTTGGCATACATCTGTCAATTTTTAGAGCTGTTGATAGTTGAATTGGTTAAAGGATAATGTCTGCGATGATCTATCAGCGTTTGAAATTTATATCTTCCATTTTACACACTCTAGGATGGCAGTACAGCTCTCCATCTGGCTGCCAAGAGAGGCCACATAGAAATGGTCCATCTACTGCTTGAAAACAACCTGGACATTGACATCAGAAATGAGGTATGTGACTAACTGTGTTTTAATCAATGTTTCTGATCTACCATTCATTTTGCATGAGCTTTTTAATGTACTCTTATGACATTTTTAATGTACTCTTATGACATTTTTGATGCGGTTAATTTTGTAAAGCGCATTGAGAGTTTTCTTATGATATAATGCGCTATATAAGAATATTACTACTATTACTGTAATAGGGCGACAGGTTTTGCGAACTCCGTCCACAATAGGGCGATACACCTTATTGAGGCGACAAAATAACTGTCGCCCTTTTATGAAAACGACCCTTAGGACAAGGAATTTTGCTGTCGCTAACCATCTAGATCGATTCCTCATGGTCCAATTAGTATAAATACTAAATTTCGTGGAAAAAACATAAGGTAAACTTGGGTTAGGTGACAGTTTAGGTTTGTGCACAAGTCTATGGGAAAGTCACCCTATTGGGGCGAAAAGAGTAATTATTATTATTAATATCATTATTATTGTTATTATAACTTGATCCATAGGTAAGGTTTGTCCAGTCCAAAATTGCGTCCAATCAGAGATCGAAATTGTTACAACAATCTTCTCTTTTTCCTCTCTCCTTGTTTTTCTGACATTTACCCTGCTACTGTTTGCTGTCCAATGTTTTTTTTCGTTCCTACATGTACTGCTGTTTGCTGTCTGACTCTTCTGACACTGCTACTATAACATGTCTGCTTCTTCTGACCCTGCTACTATTTTCTGATTGGTTTGTGTGTGTTTTTTTCTGTAGGAGGGCATGACTCCACTGCTGTTTGCTGCCGATGAGGGACACGCAAATGTAGTGGAGCTCCTTCTAAGACAGAAAGCTGACTGCAATGTTAAAGCTAATGTAAGTCAAAATTTAAGTTACTGTTAAAACATGAATTTACTGAGGAAAAAATCCATTGTTTCGTATGGGAGGGCTGTAATTTCAACAGTGAGCTGTCTTTGACACTGAAAGAGTGATATTTGTTGAAAAAAGTGAGGAAAAAACCTCGAAAATGCAGTATCAGTTTTCGTTTACTTTTGTCACCTGTTTCTTTTCTTTCTTTCATGTCTCGCTGTCTTCACAGGAAAAAAGGGTAAGTAAAGTTCACTGTGACTCATCGTCTTATGATTTTAGAAGATGTTACGTCTACAAACTTAATTGGATATTTTGCCACATTACAGTTAACACATTCAACAACTAAAAAATGGCGCTGCAGGCTTGCTACCAATAGGCTAGACACCAAACATGGATGGATTCCGTTTGTGTTGGAATAAACGAAAAGTTAAAAGGCTCATCATGCCATAAGGCCAAAAAAAAAAGTCTCCGGTTTCTGGTTTGCGCGCGCGTCGCCGTAGCCATGCGTGTCGGCAAAATGAAAAAGGTGTTTTTTCAATGAAAGATGATGTCTCAAAACCGCCAAACTCACTGGTTTGACTGGAATCCTGCTGCTGCACAATTTAACGTGTTTTTAGATTGGGTTATGGTCGAGAATAAGCTTTATGTGGCCTCTCTGGACTCCCATATATTTGCACTAAGTTTAGTCGGGCACCATTTGCAGTCATCAGCCGACATTTGAAGCAAAAAAATCAGGTAAAAAAAAAAGCCGCGTCGCCGCACCACTTTTGGGGCAAGCTCCATACCAGAAACCGGAGACTTTTTTTTGGGCCTAATGAAATCAACGTAATTCTTTTGTTATACGTTGTACACACCAAATAGACCAAAATAAATGTATGCACATACAAAACATTACTATTTTAGATGACAAATACACCTCATCATAACAGGTTCAAATTGAAATGTTTTCCTTTTGATTTGGGAACACTTAAAGTTGGCCATAATTTGCTATATGCCACCACAAAAACATACGATGGGTGATGCAAAGAACCTTCGTTGTATTCCTGATTTCCACAGAAAGAAATGGCAGCCGTCCACTTTGCAGCCCAAAACAACCATTCGTCCGTCATCAAAGTGCTGTGCAATTTTGGGGTAGACCTGGACGCCAAGTGTCAGGGGGGCAACACGGCCATTCATCTCGCCTCCATCGCTGATCGCATTGAGGTCCTACAGACCCTCATATCCAAGGGAGCCAATGTCAACGCCTTCAATGACGTGAGTATAACTTGTAGCAAGAACCTGAGGCTTGGTTATTCGAAAACTGACATGAGTATAGCCGACCCTCTCGAGCATCTAATTGCTTGCTGTATCACTCAATTTGACTTTTTAATGAATATGGAGTGTAGATAGGAAAAAGAAAATAAACATCGGGACTACAAGGCCAACGTTAGGGTTTTTTTCCAGTCGTTTAGGCCAAAAAAAAAAACATAATAGTTCTGCTTCCGGTTTCCCTATCTACCCTATTCTGACAGCACCTACCCTAATTTTTTTTATGGGAAAAATGAGAAAAAACACCCCAAACCATCAATTTCTACCGTTTACTTTTGACTGCACGCAGACGCCTCCATATGATCATACACAAAAAAATTTGGCAAAAAAATTAATTCCCTACCTACCTACCCTATTTTGGAATGCCAGGTAATGGGAAGCACTACTATTTTTTTTTTGGCTTTAGCCATTAAGAGCATGCAAAAGTAGGTGCCAGCTTTGGGAGGGTTAAGAGTGGTTATGGTTCTTGCATCCACAGCCTGTGATTACGAAATAGCCTGAAATTTTATTGCCAACAGCTCAGTCGCGTGTCGATATGTCAGATTCAGCTATGAAGCCTTGCTAACATTTTCTAATAAGATAAACAGTGTAGAAATATTTGTGTGCTATCTCACTCAAAATAATTTGCAACACAGATGTAATTTCCATTCAATTTGTAGAAGAAACGTCAAGCTCTGCATGAAGCTACAGAGAACAACCTGACAGATGTGGTGGAGACGTTGCTGATTGCCGGAGCATGGGTCAACCAAGTGGACAAGGTAGGGAGGCTATTGGCTGTATGCATGCTCACAAGAGGGCACTGTGATCCCCTTATATGGCTAACAATAGAGGGCACAGCACTGGTTCTAATGCAGTGTTGATACACTGTTCTCATTTTCACCCAACAAGGAGGTACTTGCAAACAGTGTCCATTTCCATCTATCCGCTCCGTTCACAAGTACCCCCTCACGGGCAAAGAAAGTACAGTTCGGGGTGACCGACCGACGCCATCTTGCCTGACTGCAATTTTGGCGCGGCCGTAGCACTGCCTGTACATAATACAAATCCCCTGGTGTACGTGCGTCACACACAAAGTACAAGGAATGGTGCCCGTCAACCAGCTAAATGTCCCACCCATGGGACGTCGTTGTTAAGTAAAACTGCGCCCTTTTTCGTTTGCGCACGGAGCCCATTCGGCTCATTTCTTTTGATGAATTTCACATTGGGATATTTGTATTTTGATAATGATTTTTGAAGTTCATCACTGGACAAATTCCAGTATATAAGACAAAGACTCACTTTCCCAATGTTTGCATGTCTTACCATGCAACACATGTTGGAAAGAACTATGTCAGTCAGAGTAAAGGCTTCGCTAAGTCATTCTCCTTTTTGGGACAGAATGGCAAGACAGCTTTGATGATGGCAGCGAGGGCCGAGAATGTGACCATCACAGACATGATCATCAAGGCAAGCCGGTATTTCACCAAACGGGTAAGTTGTGTAAGACAGATCCTTTGACCCCGGCAGAGATGTGGTGTTGTCCAAAGTGAATCTACATACCCCCTTTGTCAGAGTAGTGACACACCATACTTTCAGTGCAATTTAGCAACATTTTGGATGCCCCTATGAATTGACTTGATGCGCCCCACAGCATCCCCCCATATCCCCCCCCCCCCCTCACATGACGGCCACAAAGGACATGACACACCCACAGCGCACAATTCCGAGGGGGTTGATTGGATCCATCTAAAATTTTCACACAATGGTGTAAACACCTTCAATTGCGACCCCCTATTCTCCCTCTTTTGTTTGTGCTCTAACTTTTTAAGAAGACTTCCCATATTTTATTTACACTATCGTCAGTTGTTGGCCTTCGGGAATTGTGGACACTATTGTCCTCCATTGTTCAGCGTCCCCTACTACATACAAAAACAAACCCATCAGTTATTTGTTGTTCAATTTGCCCCTATTCTTAAGTTTTGGATTTAAATCTGGAATAAACCACAAGAGCAAAATGACTAGGGCCACTTTTAATAAATTTGTCATTGAACAAGGAAAATTGGTTGAAACGTGACTTATGAAACACCCATACCGCCCTTTTACAATCTGTACAATCCAAAATTTTGTTTGATTCCCAAGAAAAATGAGAAGCGACCCTACATCAAAGGGAAGGAGCACATCCAGTTCCGCAAAGAGTCGACCGAAGAGCAGCGGCAGATGAAACCAATAATGTGGAAGCTGGCCATGAAGCAGTTATCACAAGACGATTCCACGCGACTGGTCTTCTACTGGGGCTTCTCTGCTGATCAAGTCAAAGCGGTGCAGACCCAGTATACAGGTAGGCGAGATCTAGACCCAAGTTAGTGGAGCAAAAGCCTTGCTTCAGAGATGAAACTTTTCCGATTTTAACCAGTTCACGTCGGATGACGTGTATACGATGTTCAGAACGGATGACGGATAAACACTCAACAAACGTGGCCGGAAATATCTGTCTGCAACCCGCTCACAGCAAACGAGGCCAGAAATATCAGGGTGTGCTACCCGCAGATGACAACCTGAACCCATCTGGCATCAAGGTTCAGGACAATCCCGTGCTTGAGTCCGGTCAATGTCAAAATAATCCTGGCACAAAGTGGTTAATCGGAACTCCGACTTTTTCAAATATATTTTCAAAATTCTTATTTTTTTGACCATCTTTGCCCTGCAAAGTTTGATCTTTTTAAATTAAATTTCAACAAATTTGATGAAAACGGCACCGCGACGTTTGTAATGCAAACGCAATTTTAATCAGTTCTACCAGTCGTCAGCGCACAGATTGTATGGTTAATGCACATAAGTAAGCTTGGATTGGAATAGTTTTGGCTGGAAATGAGTTTATGACATGTCTGAAACTACGCACAGAGCTTAAAGGCCGTTTCACGTGGAGCTCCACTGCAGGAAAATCCAAAATGTTGCGTTATTTTCAGAGGTTTGAGATTTAGTTGTATACAATGTAATGCTTTAAAAATCGTGATGATTATCTTGGGGATAGTGAAGAGAGTATAAAAGATTTCATTGACTGTTGTTGGAAGGAAAAGACGATCATGCTGACTTTTTTTTTCACTTTAATCTCATACTTAATGCAACTCGATTAATTAACTTTAATCTTTCTAATCTTTCATCTCTCTACTTTGCTACTTGTTGTAAATCTACACCTTGTTAACTGCATTAAAACTCCTACCCCCGGGTGATGCTGATCGTAATAACTTTTTTGTGATTGGACCGTGGGGTGGCGGCGGTGAACCTTTGATTCTTTCAAGCACCAAATGGCTGCTATCTTGTTGCAGGCACAACTATCAATGAAAATGTACATGTATCTCTGTGTAGATCTTGGATGTACAGGCTTTAGTGCTTTTTCCTTCATTCTTATGATTTGCATTTCCATTGTTATATAACCTTGAACTGAATGGGATTCGGCTTTCTGTTTTGTTCCGTGTAATTCTTGTATATGTACCAGGAACAGTTCACTAAATAGTATGACCAGTCATCTATAAATTTAATAAAGTGTTAATAAATTTTTTACTGTGGAATGGGCCTTTGTTTTGCCATGCGGCTGCGCCGTGGGTTGGGACAAATAACTCAATGACACGTTGTGTAAAACAATATATACATTTATCATACAATATATGAAATCTTTTTCTTCCATTTATAAAGCAAAAAAAATGAAGGAACATAGATTTTAACAAATATTGGCCCACATCAGTGTCAACAAATTGGCAAAAAGGAATAAAATTAATACTGTTATCATTTATATACAGATAATTTCAGTATAGACAATTAGGCTCAAAAAGATGCCATACAATACACAGAAAATCACCCGTACCATTTATAAAAGGACACAAAAAACAGTTCACATTGAAACAGAAGACCTGTGTTCACCGTGCAGATCAACATAATCAAATAGGACTGCTGCTGTAACATTGTTTGATTCGCATGTTATGTTTGAATTTTGAGTGTGACAAACCATAAGTATTGTAGATTTGTATAAGTATGAGAAAGCATTTGTGACCCTGCAGCACAAAACCAGTCACTTGGACCGATTTTTGAAAACTAGGTTTTTGGCTCATTGGAAAGGACATTGAATAAACTTTCCAATGATGCACAGAATATGGGAATCAGACAAAATGTAATGAAGTTTGAGGTGTTTTCAGTTTCCAATTTTCGGGCCACAAGTTTGTAAAAGTCGAGAAATAAGTCTTTAAAGTTTCCGACCTGAACTTGTTAACAGCGCACATTTATATGAAAGTAATCAGAATGAAATTTGGAGTAAACATGTACATTCATCACTTGGTCCTTATTTTAAAAAAAAAAAAAAAAAGTGTCATCAATATTCTGTGTATTATAGGCTGTATCCCAAAATACGGCCGTGCGACTTCCGAGTGATTTGTACTGGAGGGTCACATTTGAGTTTTAAAACTAATGAAAAGTTGTTGAATTGTTTGCGTATCTCAAGCCAGTTTTGATTGTTTTATCAGGTCCCAAGAGTTGGAAGGAGCACACCTACAGAATGCTGCTGATATGGCTACACGGGGCCGAGGACAACCCTCTGAAAGGCCTGTATGAGGGACTGGTTGCTATTGAGAGGAAAGCTTTAGCAGGTGAGGTGCTATGTACTCTGCGACCAAATATATCAAGAAACAAGTCTGAGCACATTTGTTTTCAATAATCATTTTCCATATGACAAGAAACACAATAAAGGGGGCCACTTTTGCTACCGTCATGTAAGCAGTGTTTCCAATGGTTTGTTAAAGGGAAGATACAACATTTGCAAACATCAAAAAACAAAATGATCAAATTATCACGAAATACCTTACTGAATTGTTAGGGATTGACAGTCTAAAGCATCCTGTAAAATCATGGCTCCTGGTGTGCTGACATTTTCAAGAAAAACTGTATTTTTCCAATGCTGGTCGGCCGACCAGCGTTGGAAAACACTGGCTTTTTAAAAAACTGTGTTCATATTTAGTTATTCCGCATTTTCTTTGCAATAGATTACACACCTGTGAAGGGGTACAAACCTGCTAGAGTGATTCTTTGACCTTACAATTGCCCAAAGTCTTTACGTTTGTCCGTTTCATCTTAAGTGGGGTCGGGGAACCAGACTACAAGAAAATGATTGGTTTTCTTGGTTTTTCCAGCATAAACAAGCCCAAAACGTGAAACAAGTCAGTTGAACAATATTTGCTATAACATACTAATCCTCCAAATCCAATTATTTCTGAAAATTGCAGCAAAAGCAAATATTGTACATTCCCTTTAAATACCTGAAACCACCAAAGACGAATTTCAACACATGAATGGACATGCAGCCTCTTGCTGAAGATAATTTGAGTTGATTATTTTATGCTGCTTTTTGACATTATCCTCAAATTTCCATCAAATAGTGGACGGAACTCTTAGGTAACTTTTTCCGTCCATTTTTTATGGAAATTTGTGGGTGATTTTAAAAAACTAAAAAGAAAGAAAGATATAATTCAACACATATTACATGTATTATAAGCCTACATGTCTATTCACTTTTCAACAACTTTTGGGGTGGTTTCAGGTACTTAAAAAAAAAAATTACAACCATTGGAAAAACTGCTAACGTGACGGATGCAAAGTGGCCTCCTGTATATCATGCATTAGAAAGAGGAAAGTTTAAGGATGTGATGTTTACATGTTTAAACATTTAAACCAAAAAAAAATCTAAATGATTTGCCACACCGTTCAATTGTAACCCGTAACCCGAGTTTCCTTTAAGTTATGAACAAATATACATAGCAGAAATAATTAACCTATTTAATTTACAAAACCTTAAAAGCACGGCAGTATTTGATTACATTTGGAGTACAAGTAGTCAAGTTTTTAACTGTATGACTGCCTGCTATTTAATATCTTGATAATTTTGATTTATCATGCCAATCACTCCGGTCTGCAGACATAATGGGCAGGTGTCAGCCTGTGTGAAATAGCTAAATCTTTAAATGGTTCTTAAAATATTTGCTATTAACGTTTACAAAATTAAATGCACAGTTATACCTTAGGAAATAGAGGTTTCAATACTGGGCTATCACGCTACACGTATTTGAAATTGTGTTGAATATGGACCTTGATATGAGGCAGGCATGCAACTTTTCCTCGGATCCGCTGAATTCCTTGTTGTTTACTTTTCATGAATGCCTTTACAAATTGAAAAACACTGTACAAAGTCTTGTGTGGTTGGGAATGTCCTCATTTTTTTCTAAATTCCCAGTTGCATGCCTTATGAGGGTCCTACTGATTTCCATTATGAAAGATGTTTTTTTTCAAAGGATTGTATCTCAAAAGTAGCTCTTGCGACATCCAACTGACATACTTTGAGTCACATGGTTTGAAGGATTGGCAGTGGCAAGTTTAAGCTCCCAAACTGTAGCCTGTTCATTGACCCTTGGTACTTTTGGTGAAGTTTATTGCAAGTCAGTTGTGTATGCCAATGCACTCCAGCAGAAGTGCGTTGGAGGATTCTTTGACTAAACCAGCCAAGTGATTTGACCACAGACATGACAGACTTGTTTAGTTTGCTCTCATTGCTGACCAGAGAGTTTCCTCACAGCATGGCCAAGCTTTCTGTCAATACCCTTTGGCAATTCTTGGAGTGTACTCTGGTTCACCCCCAAAGTACAGTGGCAAATAAATATAAGAGGGCTGTGCAAATAACATGGGCGAGTCACTCTTTTCAAATACAATGTACTGAAGTGATTTTGAGGATCAGATAGAGCAAGGGTTAACTCATACTCTCCAATTCTTAAAAAAATCCACTACGAGATTTGGAGGAGTTAGTAGGATTGAGGAAAGTAGAGGCCAGCTACTTCAATATTCTACTTGGGCATTGCCTCTTGAAAGTTGGGGGACATATAATGTGCCGTTTGGTTCCTGCACAGAGGTGGATTTTGGAGAATGTAGGAAAGGATCTGAACAGAACACAACTGGAGTTGCATGTAGATTTGATGATGTCTCTAACAATTGTTTGGGTATTCCATTCCTTGGTCTAAAACTTTTAAAATTAAATAATAATAAAATAAATTTCAGATTTTTTTGTAAATTTATTTCAGAGATCATCAGGAAGAAAGCCAATCAGAAGCTTGAGGGCAAAGATGGCTGCTCAATCTCATGACCGCATTGCTATTTGACCTTTGACTTCTTGACCTCGCAGAGGTCACAGCACAGCCTTTCACCTCTATTCATTAAAGGTTAGTTATTACTTGTCTTCCATGAAATACGCTATATTTTGTACTATTCTGCCTCTTTAAGTCATTTTCTCTCTGAAATTCGAAGAAAAAAATGTGCACCTATTTTCTTCAAGTTTCGTTGAGAAATGATACCAAAAAGGATAGTAGTGTATTTTTGTAGTTAGATCTAAAGATGTATAGGATGCATCAAATAACGTGTATTTTCTGACCTTATTTAAGAAACACTGTATTCGTTTGTACTAATTCTGAAATATGTCCAAGAAGTGGGTTTTTTTTGTCCTCAGTGACTGTATTAAACCCAACTTTGAAGCTGCGTATTTATTAAGGTATAAAAAGATATGATGGAATATTTCTATGTGTAGGTCTGTTCTTTTTTCTTCGTCTTCTTTTCACGTGTGCTTTTTTTAAAAACCACCAAACCAATTAGGCAATATTGGTATTACTAATAATACAAGATAAAACTTCACTATTTAAGGGTAATTACTATTAATACATACAAGTATAACTGATGCCAAAATAAATATTAAATAGAACGTAGACATGGTGATCAGGACTTAATTTTTTACAATTGCAATATTTGGAAACAGTAGATCTTGGACCTGATTTTGACAAGTAATTGAATTTCTTTTGAGGAAAACTGTGCCAATTGTGCAAAAACTTGTGGGAAAATGTTTTGTTATTTAGCTAAATCAAATAATATTGGGACTTCATAGAGTTTAAAGGCTTACAGCGCTCCTCCTTGTTACATAAATTCTTTGGTTCCTGAAACCATTTGAAATTTAGTTTCAATTGTCAGAGGTTGGAACAGTTAATGTTCGCTCTTATACCCTAACCCTAACCAAACTCAACCCATCAAAGTCCAACAGCAGGTGTTGTTGAAATTTGTTAGAATGGGTACAGTACCCCTGAACTGATGGTCTTTTACATTGGGTTTGGCATACCTCCAGAAACTAAGTCCAACAGTGTATGTTCCTAGTAAATTATGCTAGAGAGTTAGGGCTAAGGTGCATTTAATTTCAATATTTGTATGTCCCAAACTTGATTTCATATGCGAAATCTACAGTTATTTCATTATGTCTTTTGAGCTTTCAAGTTTAAATGCTCTATCATAAAAGTTTCCAAGCTTTTCTTGAAAAATATTTTGTCTTCCAAAAAGTAGTTTTTGTATTCAAAATATTTGTATATACTTTGCAGTTTGACTGTTTTGTCATCCAGTTTCGTAAGAAACATGTTAAACTATGTTATTACTAATTTATTTCATATTTCATAAAAATAATTTATTTCATATTTCATAAAATGTATAATATATGCTTATTCAATATTTATCATGTTGGGACCATTAATAGGTATATTGTATACAACAGTAAAATAAACCTAACCATGTAGCCTACTAAAGTAAACATTTTGCATTTTGTCCCATTTTCTGACTTGATACATTTAAATGCAGATTATCGAGTCACAAATCCTTTCCCAAACTATTGCCAGCAATTTACGCAATGATTGCCACCCAAGATGCAAATGTACATAAATTATCGAAATTCAAAAGTGATGTCAAAATATTCCAACCCTTTTTTCCCAACAGCAGAAATTGTATGGTACAGTTTTAACACACCTGTTATAGTAATTCACACATAAGTCACATACATGTACATTGCACCTGCTATAAGCAAAAACGTGCCCACTAAATGTATAGCGCATACACCCTTCACCATGCATGAAGAATTGAAGCCACCACAAAAAAAAAACAACCAACTACTTTTGTAATTGTCAACTTGGAAAATATTCTGAAGAGATCAGTGTTGTTGTCGAGACCATCACAAGTCCTTTAACAAGTCCTTTCATATGTTCAGTCACAAGTAACCTGATGAACAATGACAAAGGAATGCTTTTGTAACTATTGTAATTATTATTCATTCTGGTACTGAAACCAAGGATTCCTGAAAAGCGCCCTAGGCACTGTAGCTCGCAAGCCTGAAGAAACCTGCAGAGAGAAGACAATGAGAAGAAATGACAGTTTTAGAGGTGGGAGGAAAACCCCATCATTCTGGGGTTTCCTCCCACCTCTAAAACTGTCATTTCTTCTCATTGTCTTCTCTCTGCAGGTTTCATGGGGAAACCCACAAAATCAGGTAGGGACTGGAAAAACCCAATCCACTTGTATTGGCCCAGGTGGGATTCGAACCCGGGTCACAGCGGTGGAAGGTGAGGAAAGTACCGCTACACCAACCTGACTCCCCAACAGTTCATTTGAATAGCTAGTGACTTGACTAGAGAATGAAAGACTCGTGATGGACTTGCAGTTTCTTGAATTGCAAGGACTTACTCGACTACAACACTGGTAGAGATCAGTCACCAGTACGAAGTGCCCACTAACAGGTCAGTGCCCAATTTCAATTTCACACACACACACAAGCAAATTTATGTGCTTAGTCAAAGTCTGCCTGGGAATGCCACTTATGACATTTTGACTGGTAACCGGTTTTTACTTAGCAGAACTTTTCTATGCTAAGCACAATGCTGTGCTATGCTGTTTCTTGAACTTGGCCCCAGAACACTCTTGCCCTGGCACATAGCATCCTCTACAGTTGCTGTGCATCATGGATAACCAGTTTGCTTGCCTCAGAAGATGCGATCTCCAGGCTTCAGGTTGGGATTCCGATTGGCTTCGTTGATTTTCCTGAGTGTTTCTAACTTCTCTTTATGCACCTCTCTCTGGTCTCTGGTGTGTAAGCGGCAGGTCTTGCAACCCCTCTCTAAGCACTTTCCCCAGGGGTGTTTTGATGATGATCGTGGTTTTGATGAAGACGATTTTGATGATGGTGGGGATGATGACGATGTTGATGATGGTGAAGATGGTGAAGGGACTTCCGGTACCTGTCCATCATCATCCTCTGAGTTTTCCTGTTCCTCTCTCTCATCGTCCTCTGGGTTGACCTCTTTGTCATCTTCCACCAGTTCAACCTGCATTCCTGTGTCTTCAGTCTCAGGTGTCACCTGGACCCCTGTGTCCTGGCTCTCAGCCTTTACCTGCACTTTTACGTCATGAAACTCTCGTTTCTCTATGCTGGTGGCTGTGCATTCAACTTCGTCCGTATTGGTGCCAATATTCCGATACGTCTTCTGCTCTGCATTTGGAGAGGCATCATCAACTTGTGTTGGAGGTTCTTCCACTATGGGTCCATCAGGGGTGTCTTCATCGTCTCTGGTCAAGTCGGTCTGTGAACCATCATCCGGGTTGGCTGCATCGTTATCTTCAGTAGGCCTCACCTTTCTGCACCTTCTGCACCATATAAACCTAATTGTACATTTTCTCCCGTTACGTCGTCTTCCATCATCACTACTTTGACTACCACGACATCTACAGCATCTGTGGTAATATTTTTAACAGAAATTACAAGTCATCAAATAAAATACAATGGAAAATCGACTAGATATGCTTATTAATAGTTGGCTGAATAAAGCAATTGGCTGGAGCCGATTTGAACTTGGAATCTCAAGAATTAGCCGCTTTAGCCTCATATCTGGTAATCTGAAGGTCACTTATTCAGAATTAGATCCCACTCCGGTCAATAACCCTTTCAACCAAGTGCAGAATTAAGAAAGTATTTTAATTAATCGTTAAAAAAGGATTCCAGGCATTTGCAACTATTTGTTCCTAATCTCATACCCCAACTTTCAATTTTGACCAAATTTTAAGAAAAAATATTGCTAATGGTTAAATGAATATTTTTGCTGGGAATACAGGATTTCATTTTCACTGCTGAAACCAAATCCAGGCAAAAAGGTATGACATCAAGTTCGAATTCTTTAAGTTCCAAAGATGTTTTTTTTTTGCTCTGCTTAAGCATGTTTCAGTGATGATCAAACTTTGAATAAAAAGCAACCTGCAGAGCATGTAATAGGTTCTGTCTGGCAATGTTTTGGCTTGAGATGGGTATCGACAGTGATTCTCTGTCCCCAGGCAAATCATTTCACATACCTTCCGATCCCGTTCATGCATGATCTACAGGTATCCTTGCAAATGCAGATGCACATCGCAATAATCCCAATCACTAGGCCCAGGACGACAATGAATGCCAGCAAACCAACGAAGATCCACAGCGGGATATCTGATGAAAGAAGCAGATCGCACACCCTCTTTGAAGGCAATTATACATAATATAGTAAACTCAGTCACAATGGCGCATTCCTGGTTTCCTTGGAATGAAATGACTGAGAATATTTCTATTCTCCCTGGAAGGGATGCCAGTCAATCACAGGTTACTCCGGAACTAATGCCGGTACCCATTTATACTCCTGGGTGGAGAGAGGACAGTGGAGGTGAAGTGGCTTGCCCAAGGACACAACATATGGCCAGTGGCTGGATTTGAACCCCTGATCCCCTCTAGTCATGAGTCACGAGCCCTATACCAATTGGCCACACTCCCCGCTATACAGTTTGTATGCTCAGTTTCATTCTGATTCGGAGATCATTTGTAAATTCACTGGAGATATCATCAGTGTGTGCCAGCCGCATTGAAAGCAACAGCAGCACAAAACTGAGGTGTCCCCGAGTCGGCTGAAAGATCTTGGTGTATAATTCCAAGATTGATGTACATCTACGCTTGTAGCTTTATGTAGCTGAAAGTTCATTGCGGGAAGACTGCGGGAAAGTTGTTCAGAATCCTGAAACTTATACCCGGTACGGTGTCCGCAACTCTTCCCGGATATGAATAAGTCTCTGTACTGATGATGTCACACTTTGTACGTGTCTGCTTTCCTATGGTGCTCAGTGGACCGTAGGCCCCCACTGGCGCTCCATAGGAAAGTGCACATGTAAACAAAGTGTGACGTCATCAGTACACAGGCTTATTGAGATGGGCCCTAAGTGTTTGGGGCGTGTAGTAAGGCAATGGTTAAACATTTTCTTTCTATTGGGATTTTGACCTATATTGGTTTGTCTCACCAAGGTATCCACAGTCGATTGGTGCCGTGGTTGAACCATTTGCTGCTGCCTGCCTTCGATGACGATACAGAATTACTGTATATGAGCCAAGGGTGAGGGCGCTATCATCAAGCTCTGAATCTGATGATAATGATGCGTCCTCCATTTTGTCACATTGGCAATTGTCATCGGCAGATTCACTCTTCCACTGCTTAACTTGAGACCCTTTAGAAATAATTGGATGTCAAACAAAAATATTCTGAATTTGTTTAGGCCTATTCCTACTTCTCGAAACTAGTTCTTCAGGTAATTGTGATTGAAAGGTTAAGAGTAAATAAGTGACAGAAACACTGGTTGGTTTTTTTTTTAAAGAAAACAGGCCCAGGGCAACTGTGCCCACGACTTGGATGTATCAAATTGTTAAGGATGTGACTTTGTGTTTAATTTTGTAAGCGTTTAGCACATATCTTAAGAACAATTTAACTGTTTACTAAACATTAATTTTAACCCATCACAAAGGTTGACGCCTGCCCATTATGTCTGAAGATGGGCGTGATTGTGATTGACATGATAGGTCAACAATGACTGACATAATAGCAAGCAGTAATTGAAAAGGTAAAAACTTAACTATGTGTACCTCGAATGAAATCAAGTACGGTGGTTTTGTAAATTAAATAGGTTTGAAAACATCGTTAAATAGTTGTGCCACGTATGTTTTACTCAAAGAACACCCCGTGAACGTATACTCCTTTTTTATTCGGGTTTCATTTCAACGTTTTGGAAAATTTGTAAACGGATTTAGATTTTTGTTTTCGTTTAAACGTGTAAACATCTCATCCGTAAACAAAAAAAAAGGGTACATGTATATCTGAATTTCAGATGAAATGGCAATTTCAGCCGGTCGTTGCTGGAATTTGGTAGAATTTCAAACCTTGTCCAATTACTTACTACAAAGTCCATCATCGCACCATTCATCAGCCCCGCATTTAGAGCAAGGTGGACCGGCAGCATAATGTGATAAGGGTGAGTCGGGTCCTTGTGAGCTGTAAGAATCAGTATTGGAGAACAGAAGTCATTTAGGAAATAAAGCGTCGTTTCTGGCAGTACTTGGAAAAGAGATCTTTTTGTTTTGGTTTACATCTGGCGAACACGTAGTCTGGCTTTTATGTTGTTATTTTACCCGAATGAAAGATAAACGGAAAGCAATTGCAAAAAGTCTGTGCAATTTTTGTGCTGACTTATAGTAAATTTATCGGACCGAAATATCAACAACGAGGATCAATATCAGTAGCGTTGCATACATGAATAACAATTAATTACCTGCTTCGGGTGCCATAGTAACAGACGATCATGATATCGTCATGGCATTTGGAGAATCCACAACCAACCTCATGCACCGTGGCAGATGTCATCTGCGGAATGAGAAATCAGATTGATGACAATCAGAAGCGTATCCAGGTTTGGAGTTCGAGAGGTTGAGGGGGGATGTATAAGTGATCTGAAAAAAAGTGGCCCAGTTTTTATTTCGCTCTTAAAAAAAAAAAGGTTAAAAGCGAGGGAGGGTATTACCACTAGCAGCGGCTGCGAGGTTCGGGCATTTTCGTTTCCTAAAAAAAAACCTGGCAAAAATGTCGCCAGATCGGCAAATGACCCGTCCCTTTTTTAGGTCTTTATTTCTTGGTACGCCACTGATAAATTACAATGTTCGGCAATTATGCGAATACAAATGTCATGTCTTTGTTTCCAGGTAAGGTCTTCAAATTGACATAAAGAAATGGACAGAGAGACTTTTTAACAAACTAGAAAAGTGGAATATACATCATCATGTATTTGGTAGATTACTTGAAGTTTTCGTCTTTTCTTTACAAACTAAAGTTCTGCATAAATTGCAGTTCTTCATAAATAATTGGAGTATACAAGGTCTAATCGAATACAAAGAAAGTATATTAACACTTAGAGGGTATTCCATGTAATTCATGGACAAGATTGATTTTACACCCGGCTCTGCCGCATTTTAGTTCAAATAACTTAGGCAACACGTCTCTAGTCCATTTGCATTCGCAAAGATGAACATTATACTTAGGCGAACGGGGATTTGTGCAAATAATTCAATTTTAACTTGCATTGATTATACAACACGCTGATGGAGGCTGTAATTGTGAGATCGTACCGTCAGATAATGTCTGCATCCGCCGGCACGGTAGCATGCTCCCGTGCCGTAATTAAACTCCCGCCCTTCGGCCAGCCAAGATGAGACAGTGCCACCAATGCCACCATTCCTGTGCTGCCCTGACCAGACATTTTGGAGGATACGACCGTTGTAAGTGAACGGGGCGGGCGAGAGGGGTAGGCCGTAGTCCACCACGCAACGGCGGGACCACAGCTCGGCTAGATAGGCTAGGTCGGAATTCCATCTCTGAAGGAAAGGAAGAAGGAAATGCAAGCTTTGGTGAGCCATAGGCCTAGGTCTTGAGGCGGTGAAGCAGCCCTCCATAATTACCACTGTCTCATGTTGCTCCCTGCAGAAGTATTGCTTATAAGTAATGAATAAAATAAAACGTGCTTTGACATTGAAGAGAAACAAAATAAGATTTTTCCCCATGAAAAAGATCTGGCACACGACGTGATACGAATGAGGGAAAATAATGGGGGAAAAGGCAGTATCTCAAAGCTTAAACTACTCTCTACAGGACGAAAAAACAAGACATCATACAAATTTACATGTATTCTGCAAAAATGTGTTTAGCAATTAATCACTTTTCTAAACACTTTCTTGCTATCAGTTTGTAAACATGTTTAAATACTAAACATGTTTACAGTAAGGATGGATGGTGTTTATGTTCTGCTTCCAAACATGTTTTACAAAGGGATAACAAGATTGTGTTTCATTGTTAAACACAGTTTTTACTTTATGGTATCTTTGTCAGAACAGTTCAAAAATCCATCTTACGAATTAGCAAATCTGGATGAGAAGTATTTGCGGCAAGAGCATATCTATCTTCTTTTTTTGGAAATGAAGCTAAAGGCTTTCTCAAAAGTGCAAGTCTCGAAAGTGAAGATGAGGAAAAGAGTCTTTGATTTGAGAGGTGGGAAGAAATTAACCTCAAATTGGCTTATCTGTTTTGTTTATTTTCAGGCAGTTCCTTTAAAATCCAGGATCATACGTTCACGTGTGCACAGCCACACTACGATGTCTGATTTATCCGTGCATGTAAATTTTATCCGACCCCGCACGCCAGCCAATCGGAGCCGCCTTTAGCATTAATTGCGACGTCGTTTAGAGCAAAAGGTCGGCCAAATCTGTTGATTGGTCAATCTACTTCCATGTTAATGTAATACCGAAGACCCGATAGAAGGCGCCCTCTGAATGGTCAGATGCACTGTTGTTTTGAACAATCTGCACGCATCATTAATGCAAGCGTCTTTTCCATAGACTATACTTGTTGACATATGGGGGGAATCGAAACCGAGTCACAGATGTGGAAGGTATAGGGAAAGAACCACAGCGTTAACCCGATTCTTTGACTCATGACATTGAACGCCCGATCTGAACAAAATAGGGCTAAGAGCAGCTTTTAAAAGTCGTAAAAAGTGCAGAGCCAATTTTCGAGATTTGCAACTGGGTGGAGTCTCATTTCGTCCCGTAACCGCATGTGTACATTACCGTTGAAAATTACAAATGTTGTAAGGCAGAAACTGACCCTTGACCTATAGGTACTTCAAATTTATTTTAGGGAGTTCAAAATCCACGGATCATTTGTGCCTATCAGATCTCCCATGTACACATTTCTTGGAATCCTGGATAAAAACAGCGCCTGGATGCTTAAAGGAAATCTCCCTTCTCTGATTAAAAAGGAGTGGAATTTGTATACATGCAGCTATGTGACACCTGCCCATTTCTTTTCCACCACCAACATTACCTTTAACTGGCGTTTATTTGTCCGCTTGGATTTTTTGGGGGAGAAACAAAAACTGATGGAAATCTTTGAAACAACGCATCTTATCTAAACTTGAGAATAAAGGTTGTTGTGTGTTCAGTGATCATTTTCTAAAGTTCATCTTTTTATCTTTCAATGCAACTTTTGTGTCCAATCAATGTGTTTACCAGTCTAGTGTGTTTACCAGCTGTGCAAGCAACGCTTGTATATAATCAAGGACTCGTATTTGTGTTTTGTATTTAATGTTTGGTGTTTGGCATTAAATCATTTTATAATATTTTAATATTTCATAATTTCATTGTTCATCATTAGTTTCGAGATTTCTGTATGGGCCTATGAAAACAACCTGGTCGAGTTTTCCCACGGACGATTCGCTGCCAAAACGTAAAGAATATAATATTCCAGTCACTCCATGACAAAAAGGATAAATTTGAGCTTACTGATAACATTTTCCGTGTTGGTTGAGCATTCACAAGCTGAAACCATCGAATCTACATGATACTCAATAACTGTTACTTACCATCTCTAAATATGGCTTGGAATTTTGAGCAACCAAAATATGACGCGCTATCCATTATTACATTGCTTTAATAATTTCTCAACTTAAAAGTTATACGCAACTATAAATGGCGCGCAGAGATAATGCCACATATACACTGACGTATAAATTGAATTTACTCTCTAAGTGCATGTGTTGAATCATCGGATTAAAAACACGGTTATAAATAGTAGTATAGGCCTACATGTAATAATTACGAGTCGCCCAAGATGGTGCCTTTGAGAAAGTCGATGTAGGGCGGGCATATGGTTAGAAACAAAATTCCTTTTGGCCTTTAATTCGGAGAGTAGGATGGCTATTGAGATAGGCCTATCCATGTACTTGACATTTGGACGCCAAGAGGTAGAATGGAAACGGTGATATGGAAGAAAACTTTGAAGACATGTTGCTCAAAATATAACAAGCTCGATCGGATCTTGGAAGCTGCGGGCCAACGAATTCGTGTCCACGCATGAGTCACGTGATTGTGCCATGTAATTTCTGGAAGGAGTAGTATTTTGAGTTGGAAAAAAAAAAATCAGATGACCTTCGACCCCAGTTTGGTCATGTGACATGTTGGGCCTGGGCTACTGATTTTTTTGACAAAGTTTGGTTGAAATCAGCCAAAATATGTAGGAGCAATACTAGACAATGTCAACGTTTGTTACTACCTAACTAACTTACTAACTATCTAACTCACCAACTAAATAACTAACTACTAACTAAGTAACGGAGAGACAGGATGATTTGTTGAGCTGCTATCCGCTGCTAAACATTTTGGTTGGATTAAAGGCACGTATAATAGGAGCATTGGTCGTTTTAATGAGAAAATCCTTGAAGACAGGACTGGTACCAATGCTCTGTGAAATGTATCGGTATTCGTTAAATACTGCGAAGATTACGGTACCCATCTACTGGGACCTCGACATCACATACACTAACCGATTGAATGAGAATCACGTCCGGAGTGCTGATTTAGAGATTGTATACCAGAGGGTTCAATTCAAAATACAATGTATGAAACGGCTACCTACGAGGATCCACTTACGAGACCACAACATTGTAAATAGATTTTCTCTGTGAGATGAAATTCAAAAGGTTTAATATACTACTAAGATTTGAGCAATTGCTCCTGCTTCATACGGAAAAAAGCAAATGATCCTTACTAATTTGTGTATCTGTTGTGTATAAGAGTACTGCATGTATACAATGTATTTTCACAAACCTTTATTTTTTTTTTTCAATTTATTGCAAGTCACAAAACTTGTTTCACTTGATTGCAAGAACAAATAAAGCGCTCTCGATGCACAGCATTTTTGGATTGATGTCTTTAAATAATTACAATCCTTGTCATGAAAATACCAAAACAGGTTTTGTTTCTATTACGTCAGAAGGAAAACAAGGGAAATGTCTATACACATTAGCCATCCACTTACGCTTTATATGAGGGCGGTAGCGGGTCCATGTATTTCAAAGGGATGGTTTAGGTCTTGCCAGCATGACACAGACCAAAGGCCCTATCAAACACTGCTGTATCACATGCCGATATTTCAGGAAAGGAAACTTCAAATTTCAAGTTTTAAACCACCCACGTGACAGGCTCTCAACCAATGAGAATTGGCAGACTGCCTCGGGTATTTATGAATAATCAACACAAGTCGGACAGAAAGGAGGCATTAGCCATCTTCTACCAACTATACCAGCGAGTATTCTCCAGATGAGGCTTCTGCACAGTACAGGAAGATGAGCTGACGCGTCAGAAATCATGATGGCGTATAGATTTCATGATGAAATCTCACCATTTCGGATAGTATAGTCGTACTGCATCATTATGCTCTCCCGATACAAGCCCAAAATACACAAGTCATTTCTCAATCTATAGTTCAAACTGTGGACATTTAAACAGCCGATGGTGTATAGACATGACAGTATGCATCTCCTTCAATATTTTTACACCTTTTTTATTTGTTAAATTTTTCAGCACATGTGGCACTTTCGCATCCTTGACAGGCCTATGTTTCACTCTGCTGCTCTTGTTTGATTCTGAGCCCCACCATATACCTATAGGTGCCGGGAATGCAACAGCTGCAGCAACGCCCCCCCCCCCCCCCACCCACCCCTCTTTCCCCTGGTATATGTTTAATATTCCTCTGTCACTTACCAGCCAGGGCATGTTGGCCGCTGGCGGCTCGGTCTTCCTCCTTGCGTGGTTGTGTAGTCTCAGGGCATCCTCGCGGAATGTCGAGGGTGAGGATGTTGATGGTGGTGATGTTGGTGATTCAGTCCTTCCCCGAGTCGTAGTCTCGGCTCTCCCAGACTGCTGTTTCAAATCCCTCTGCGTTGTGGGCAATTTGGACGCGGCCTTTGAGTGGTTGTTTGGCAAATTTGTGTCGAGTTGTCTTACCATCGGTACGAGTGCGCCACTCGTCAGAAGTGTTTGGGAGAGTAGAGCTACCACGACCATTACCCTAATCATCTTGATATTAAGATCCTGAAAAAATTGCCTTGCCTAGATTTAAGAAACCACCGAGTTCACGGAAACGAAACGATGGCAGTTTTGTTGACTTCAGATCAACTTTCTGTGTGGAGCCTGTGAGTACGCGTACACATACACCGGCAACAGAGCTCCCCGTCGCCCGTGGTTACACGATCACTGTTGTGTGACCGTTTTGACCTTATTTCGCCCTGTTGGTCGCGCACTTTTCTATAGATGATTGATTTCGCATTTCCAGTTTGGGTTTAAAGGCAGTTTATTCCCGTTTCGCCTGCAGGTGTGATTTACCTCGCCGGTATTAACAGGATTTATTGATGCGTTGCTGTTCACAATACACAGTGCAAAAGCCTGAACTATACCAGTCCTTGGCGACTGGACGCACTTCACACAAGTTGTTGATATTGGAACTTTGAACTTTTTTTCTGCCAGGTCTCAAAATAGAAACTGCCTTTTTAATGCCAATGTCAGTAGTGGGTGGTTTTTTTTTTTTTTTAAGGTTTTAGCATTTGTAAATACACACCTATTTCGATGAATGAGCGAAAATGAGTATATGTTAGGACTGCAGGGAGTACGGAAAATGATTTCGATAATAAAAGGTACTGTACTCACTCATGTATTGTGTCATGCGTCCCCAATGTCTAAGTGTTAAGAAGGTGTATTGCCATATAGTATACTCTATCCATTAAAACGAACCAGAAACCAAACTAACAAGCCAGTGTTTTATTCCCTATATTTGCATGTTTTCACAATATTCAGTTTTGGGACTGCGATAGCTCTCAATGCAGACCTACGCGTTATACACACACTTAGTGTAATCATGCAATATGGCTATCAGAGTCTTAATCTGGGTGTTAAAGGCAAATGACACGAACGAGGTAAAGTCTGAACAATATTGTGTTATAAGCTGTCTATACTAATAGCTTCTTCTGCACTTATTTTTCACTCACTCCTTAATCTTCTTTGAAATTACTTAACATTCCAGGTACGCATTCGTTGTCTGCCCTTTTGTCCCCGTGACCCTTCCCCGGCTCTTCGTCTGTCTCCTTTCCCTTCTATTCATGCTTGATTAGCTTGTTTGTTGCTGTTCCCGCTTCCTTTGAATCAGTTTGCTTTTGATTTCACTTGGATTAATCAGGCCGTCATTGCGATTTTTGCTGGCTTCATCAGAGGGTGAGCTATACTGACTCCCTAGCCTTGGCTCAAAAAATATGACCATATTATACATGTACCTCGACAAAATTGGTTTGATTTGAAGTTTACTACTTGCATGACAATGAGAGTTCAAAGAAATAAGAGGTCCTCGGTGTTATTGGCTTGGATGGGGTGGTGAAGACGAGCGCTATAGTGTATATCTTGCTGATGCTTTCTTGACGCTGATCGTGTTTGCTGACGCTTGTTGACGCTTAGTCTTGGCCCTAGACGTTGAGTGTTCAAGAGCAATAGTTGCATATATTGTTGCGTAGCGCACTTGCATAATTGGGGTTTTTTTACGCTCTCGCACCAACGTCTTGGTCATTTCGTAGCAGTGGGAGCCGAGCGGGGCCATTTTATATGTAAATAAGACCGTCTGTATAAATTCGAACAAACCTGTTTATAGTTCCGTGCATAATCACCGCAGTATCTCGATCGTTGATTGGTTCCCTAAAGCGCTGATATGATGCTCGATAATGTAGCGCAGGACGTGTCAACCTCGTCCCCAGGGTGTCGAGCAGTACGCGCCCATCACTATTGCCCTCTCGCCCTGGTATTGGATCATTTTGCATGTGCAAGATTTTTGAACACGTATGCAAATGAGGAATAGTCTGGTGCCTACATGTGCGTTACATTATTTGTTTTTGTGTGCGGTGTCTGGGGTAAAAACATAGTCAATTCGTCACATCGCGAGCATATGGCGTGAGTTACGAAAAGACGATTTTATTTTAATTAAACTGTTACGATCTTAACGAGACAACATGAAGTATCACATTTCATATTAATATTAACAAATTGGAAAGGAAATGAGTATTTTCGAGAAAGTGTGGACGAATACATCGCGAAAACACGTACTGCACGTTGTGAATAATAACACCAAGTACACAATAAAAATCCATTGCTAGCCAATTGCGATATCGAATCAGGATTCAGGAAGAAAGTTTCCTTTCCAGGGCTTACTATTGGAAACAAGGTTGGAAGTAAAGTAAGCACTGGTTCCCTATGGAAGCGCTGATGCTCGATCACGTACCGCGCGACGTGTATGCTTACAACCATCGGGCGAGCCATCGAACTTTCTCGATCGCTGATTGGTTCCGTAGGAAAGCCTACGGAGAAAATAAAGAAAAAGTTAAACCGCTGATACGAAATGGCAAAGACGTTAGTGCGAGTAGCTCCGCTGGTCTAATTGTTGTGTCATTAGAGGGCGCACTATTCACCGTCCACTATCGATCACTAGCGTCTTGGGCCAAGACTAGTTGACGCTAAACAGCACGACCGGTGTGCGAGGCGAAGGTGGGCGCGCCTTCGGCGAACCTTCGGTAATGGTGCTGTATAAAGGCCTAGTGTCTTTCAGTCATCGGTGCTCTTTGTCATTTTCACTGTCAAGGAGGTACTTGTGCACGGGGTCCTTAATACTTCAACTGAGACTTCTTCGCTGACTCACGCAAGCATCGTCAGCGGAGCAGTCCAATCCAGTGCATTTAAATTCGACTGTAGTGATGCAGCGTTAAATCATTTATCATACCGTTCTTCATAGTCACCATCGCCTCTTTTGTAGCGATTGAGTGCGACGGCCAGTTGGCTAATGTCGCTAAAGGTCGTGGCCCGCCAAACCTCTCAGTAAAGCCATCAAGTTTTCAGCTGGGCTGACCGGCCTTGACCAGCGCGCTAGTATCCGGTAAAAGCGACATATCCGTTAATGAAGGTGAGAATGCCGTGCACCAATATCTCGTTATTTATCTTCTTTCTGCGATGAGTGATGGACGCGAACTGCTGCATACATACTGCATCACTCACAGCCTCTTCAAGCAGTGTTATCATCGGTCAACTGGCACCAAGTGGCCTTCTTGAAGAATGATGGACTGTCCGACAGTTCTCGCAGGGTAGACTGGTTCCCACCTCTATCAGACACGATAATATTGGGATTCAGTCTATTTGCTATGCTGATCTGTTTGCGCACAAAGATCACCCAAAATAGCCTTACTGCAGAGGGTTGCGGGCGCCCAAAATACAGGGTGAGACACAAAAAAAGCGGAACCCAAACCCCAAAAATTAAATTCATATTTAAACAAGTATGTAGCACCAGAAATAATAATGACTGGAAAGCCAATTTCATAAGTTACTTTTAGATGAAAAAAATATTGAAATTGCTCAATCTGTTCAAAGAATATCACCAGTTAAACGCAATGACCCTAAAACCTGTCTCGTCCAAAAAAAGCAATTAATTGTGTGTTTTGACATGTTTGGAACAACAAAGAAAATGACACAGAATACTTGTTTCAACAACTGTCACCAACTGTAATACACAATATCTTTATTAACAACCCTGTTTAGGCAAACAATATGATTGATAAAATCTACTTTAAAAAAAAAAGACAGGCCTTCAAATGGACTTTGTTGAATATTTTTAACGTTTAAACTAAGATTTTATCACTGATGATATTTGAAGGCAATTGTGACGGCGATTCTTGAAATCGCACTTTTTTGACGAGGTTTAGGGTCATTGTGTTTAAATGGTGATATTCTTCGAACGGATTGACCAATTTCAGTAATTTTTTCATCTAAAAGTAGCTTATGATATTGGCTTTCCAATCATTATTATTTTTGGTGCTACATATTTGTTTAAATATGAAATAAAATTTTGGGGATTGGGTTCCGCTTATTTGACTCACCCTGTAGACCACAGTTTACTAAATGAGGCATACTAGTCGAAAACTCGTTGAAACATATCGAATTTGTTGAAGACCACGGACAGTAGTATTATAATTCGAAGTTTGTTTGGACAGTTTTCTACGGTAACATTGGTATAAATATCAGTTCATAAATGTAAAAATATCAGAACTACTCCGAGAGACATCACCCATGGGTAGGCCTACTTCCACTTTGAAGTTGTCCTTTCAGTACAAGCACTGCGTTAACAACGATGGCACATCCGCTAAGAACCACGACGTATAAACATAAAACTACAACATTATTAAGATGTCCCTTTTAGAACACGCCAGCTGCAGCTTCTCTTACTGGAGCAACGATTCAATTTCTTCATTACTTCTGGGGAAAGGAGGAGAAGAGGGGCGGAGGAGCGGAGTCGAGAAATTATGCCCCGTTAGTGCCATTTCAGTCATTGCCCGTTCTTCTTTTATTTTGGTTTAACTCAGGCCATGATTAAGGAGATGATAAGGAGAAAAACAAACGTTGATCTGTCCCTTTCGTGTTTTTAAATTTACTCATCAGAGAACTGATAAAGGGCGTCCCTTTTTTATTTCTATGGTTCTCATATGGTTTCCTCTGAGTGATATAGGATTGGTGGGTCGGCGAAAATCTCAAATCTGAAGGAAGAGATATGCAGTTGCAGCCTTATATGGCTACAAGTGCGTGTCTTGTTTTGTTTATTGCAACGAGTTTATCAGAGTTGATGTGTCACTGAACAAAATAACGAAGCCATCTTTGGCAAGATGTAGTTGACTTCCATTTTATCTGCACCATGCAGCTCACATACGTTTAGGCTGTAGTGGCAGCTATAATAAATGTAAAGGTCAACCATCGACCCCGGATATTTTGAGAGGCAACACCCTCGCATCTTCCTGTAACATTGGATTTTGTTTTCCATATAGCTTTTCAAATAACACAGAGCCCGCATTGCCTGAAATTGATATTCATTTGTTCCATTAATTTATTTTTTGTTAGTGGGGGTTCCAGACAGGGTAAACGGTTTACAAGTGCGACTGCACAATACGCTCTGACCGTCTTGCATGAAAGTCTTGCATGAAATCTATCAAAATGATCCCTGCAAGAGCTTAAAAATGCGACGCCCAAAAATACGACGCCGATGGCAAATACGTAACACCATACTTCAGATTTATACCTAGATTTATAGCAAGATTTATAGCGATTTGTGATAAATACCACGTCACTATAACATTACCGCACATATTTTCCCCCAGTTACAAATTTTTCATGAACACCTTTCCGAATTGTAAGAAACAATTTTGGTTAAGTATTGAATCTTTTTTTATTTTGTTTGTTTTTTTTAATTAAAATTTGGTAGGTATATTTTGTGGGAAAATTAGGTGGCTTATTTTGGTCAATTTTCCGGGGACCGACCGACCGACCGACCGACCACCAAGTGTCAAGTAGAAGCTCCTGCCAAAGCTTTAAAAGAAAAAAAACGAGACACAAATAATTT